TTCTTCAAAATCTTTACGTATTTACCGTTCATAATGACCAGGGCCAGGATTTTCATGACATGTCATCTTTGTTTCCTTGTATCCTACGCGATGCTCTTAAATATATAAATCTCGGATATGAGCTGCTGGTTACAGAAATGTAAATTTTATAGGTGATTTTTGTCATTATTGGCATTTTTAGGTTTAAGTTCATTTTTTCATTTTGGGGGTATTTTTCTGGTAAATTTTTGGAATTTTAAGGGTATTACTTGACATTTTTGGCTATTTTGGGGAGTTTTTCTTCATATGTTTTCTGAAATGTAAATAACATGGAAGCGAAGTGTTCTTTCTTTTCTCCTTTAGGTCATTTTTCTGGATTTTTTCGGTCATTTTATAGGTCATTTTTTTAATATTTTCAGGTCATCAAAATCCGGGCCCTGCATATTACATTTTTGGGTCATATTTTAGATAATTTTTCTGGATTTTTTCGGTCATTTTTTAAATATCTTCAGGTCATCAAAATCCGGGCCCTGATAATGACTTTCCCATTAGTCTGTCTCAAGTCACAAATGAATTTGAAACCTTGTAACAAACCAAAAATCAGTCAACACGACAGATCATTTATTGAGGCCCATATTACTACAATACTCCTGTGTGGAGGCGAGTTAGAATACCTCCGCTGCAGCCCTGCGAATAGTAGAAGGTGACGCAAAGGGATCCCAGCGCTTGGGTGTATATATGGGCCACCCTATTTCTGTGGGACATAAATGCAGAGACTAGTCCTCCAGGTTCAGGGTTTGAAGCAAGGCTAGCCACCTTCTTCTGAAAAAGAAAAAATATTGCGAAATCCAAAGAAGTGGAAACCGGATGGTCTAATTCACGATAGCCAGGAAGAGACAAATCTGGCAGAATCTTCTAAGGGAGGCTATGAATAAAACCGGCTGTTTTGCCAATGATGACGGTGATGATGACGATGATGATTACTACAATAACTTCAAGCTGTCATTTTCGAATGTGGTTCACAATTCTTTTTGGGTTCAGAAAGAATAATTTCGTGTGTCTGTTATTTGGTTAAACTATAGACATCTGTATTGCAGCACTGAGGTCTTCTCGTACCATTAACAGGGTCAGTATGGAGTTAGTATCCAACGTTTAGGTAACCGTCTCCAACATCGGGAGTTTATATCCTGATGATGGAGATGGAAAAAATCTTCGAAACGTTCTATACTAACTCTATATTGATACAGCTATGAACCCCAAAAATACTTAAATATATACATTCACAATGGAACCTTCAAATTATGTACAGTATTGTATTGATATTAATTTCCCTCTTGAGAAGCTGATAGTCGTTCCGTCTCTCATGAAATTCCTTGCCTTATATGGAACGCATGGAATTTTAATGGTACACTCGTTTCCTATATTGCCTTTTTCCAGTTTTGTTAAACTACGATTAATGTGCATTGCCCTCCACACTGATTGCGATAAGACTGTATCTTCTTGGGCAATCACTTTATCCCGGCTTCCTTCCCCCATGTCTAATGCATAAAGCGATACATCACCGTATGACACAACGACACATGTTTTAGCTTTTATTGCCTGAATGTAAAGGTAAGTAATAGTAACTCACCTTTCATTTGTTATTTTTTATTGCTAGTGGGATGGGACTAAGTCCCTTGTACTGCGGCCACTTCTGGCCTATTGTACCAGCCCCAGATGATAGGTGAGGGTGATTGTGGAGCAATTGGTGGAATGAAGATAGGCAGGGGTAAGCGAAGTAATCGGAGAAAACCTGCCCCAGCGTCACTTTGTCCACTACAAATCCCACTTGACCAGACCCGGAATCGAACCCGGGCCACCGCGGTGGGAAGCCAGCAACTAACCACTTGAGCTATGGCGCGGCCTGACCACCTTCCATTTAAGTTCACTAACGTCCATGTGTCATTTTATGAAGACACTGGGAGTTTTATGAGGTCTGGCAAAGATGCGTGTAGTAGATTCATCGAATATATGTTACAAGCATGAATACAAATTTATAATTTACGTATGACATCACATCTCCTCGGTTAGCAATTTCATCATTTCAAAACAGTTTATTTTAAGAACGCGTCAACAGCTCTAACAAAAAAAAAAAAATAAGTAGCTGGATCCAACCCCGAACTAATTACACCCACCTTCCAATACCATAACATTTATGTATAATTGATTTCCGTGTCGACTGTATTACCACATGCAATCGCACGCGCCGCCGGTCACGGTAGCCGAGCGGTCTAAGGCATGCACTATCTTCGCTCGCTCGGAAACCGGGATCGTGGGTTCGAATCCCACTCAGGGCATGGATGTTTAGTTTGTGTACAGATAGAGGCCTTGCGACGAGCTGATCACCCGCCCAAGGAGTCCTACCGAATGTGTAAGATCTAGAAAAACCGAAGTGAAGGGAGAAGTTCATGGAGGTAGGCCTAGGCCCACTGGGGCTGTAGTGCCAAGAAAGAAAAAAAAAATTGCACGCGCCTATACTGACTCGGGTATGGTGACCATTGGTACGGACTGAGATATCGGCTAATATCTGAAGCCACTTCACAAGTAGTTCTCGAACGCGTAACTATTGTGTAAGATCCAATTTTGCAGTCACATTATATTCATCCCGTCAACTGAACAAGGCTCTGCTTATTGCCGATTATTTTAAACCACAACACATAAAATTACATTAAATTACAACGGACACGCCAACAATTCATAAATGCTTGATGGATCGTTAGATCTACGGAGATATATTGAAACATCGAGGAAGGCCGGCATCTTCGCTTATTAGTAACTAATTCTGTCTGTAATTCGTGCATACGCAGCGAAAAAACGTCGTCATTCCGGAACTAAACGGTATTAGACCTGCAACGTTCAATAGTTTTGACACAAAAATTGACCACAGGATCTAATCCTTGGCCAGCTAAATCTATTTTTTTTATTGCTAGTGGGGTGGGACTAAGTCCCTTGTACTGTGGCCACTTCTGGCCTATTGTACCAGCCCCAGATGATAGGTGAGGGTGATTGTGGAGCAATTGGTGGAATGAAGATTGGCAGGGGAAACCGAAGTACTCGGAGAAAACCTGCTCCAGCGCCACTTTGTCCACCACAAATCCCACTTGATCAGACCCCCGGGATCGAACTCGGGACGCCGCGTTGGGAAGTCAGCACGGCCCAGCTAAATCTCACTCATACTATTTAAACCTTGAAATTATTTCTCTCATCTTCTGAACAGGCTGAAGAAATGATTTCTGGGATCCTGGGTGTTTTGCATCATATGAAGAGAAGTATGTTCAAACAAGGAAGTTGTTTTCTTGCTATTATGATTCATGACAGATTTAAAAGGAAATGCTGCTTATAATGCTACTGGTTACAAAATCACAAATTGCAATCAGTCATGCTGGTGACATACAAAAAGGGAAACCCAGTAATAACAGTGAAGTTTATGTCCCCAATTTGAAGATACGATACATTTTCGGCTATACTGACTAAATCCTAATACCAATATTGCGTTTCTCAAAAGAACTGTGAATACGAATAAATCAAAGCCGAAGAGAAATTTATTGCAGTTATCTTTCATTTGCCGCTAATTAAACTAACCCTTGCGTCCTAATTTTATTACTATGATATCGCTAAGGGCCCATGGAGCTTAGTAAACTTGTATTCTCATCTGCATTGCTGTTCACTTAACTGGTAACGCCTATATGACACTTCCTCGAAGGATTTAGACAGAATATTCCCACTTGACCAGACCCGACCGCGCTGCATTACTCTTGTACCCAGACACTCGTTTTCCTCACTGGACACACAACACAGAGGCCTACGGTATGATCTTGTACGTATTTCCTAACTACAAATATAGGCGATAATCCTAATACTGGTGAGGTAAAATTGTTCCAGTGTTTAAATGCTTCATAACATAAAGATGTATGGAAGAGTGGAGTTATAGCTCCACGCATTCTAAACTTCGGCAAGAGATTGTAGTTATTTCAACGCTGAAGTAGCTCTGTCCTAGGAAAAGAACCCTCGGTATCCATTTCATATGAAGATGGAAGGGCTCCAAAGCCTGGCCGGGCCTGGAGGCGAAGAGAACAATCCCAACTCCTGCCAGGAATGAAACACCGGCCATGCAGCCGTTGCATTATCCACTGCAAAGGTCAGTCACAGAATTTTGCGGCGAAGCCCGAGTGAAATAAGCAAGTGGCGCACACCCGATAATGGGCTTTCGATTTTGAGCAGTGTTCGGTGTGTCCTCTTCGCAACCATTTCCAGACCGGCCCCAATGCTCAACCAGCATCATATCCAGTGGGCACTGGGTCTGTCTCCGCGAGGGTAGTGACCGTAGCGACCACTCTCCTCCAACTTGTGCTAAAGCTATAAACTTTATTTCCAAACTGCGTGAGGTTAGGCACGGGAGAAAATTCATAACATACGAAAGAAATTTCAGTGACCCCATGAAGAGTCGTTCTAGAGCCCACTCAGCCTCCGATCCAAGGGATACCGTGTGATCTTTCCCCGGGGTAAATCGGCCGGGCAGTGAAGCTGATCCTTCACCTCCAACTAGTGCCGAAGTCAATAATACGTGAATCTATACATCCACTCCCCCATACGTCATGGCGTAGTGCTTATTAGTCAAGCAGGTACATCTTACCTTACCCTTTTCAAGAACAGTTATGTGAAGTTGTGCATAACACTACTTGTAGCTTGGTTAGCTATGCTGAGTGTAAAATTATAAACGTGCAGTAAAAGTGGAGAAGGGATGCAGATTCTGCTTGGGCAGTGCCTTTACATTATATTTACCGAAACGATTGTCATAGAGAAGGTCTAGGGCAACAGACATCGATATTTTGGTGGAAGCTGCAGGTAAATTACGTCCTAATTCTGTACGATTTAATCTTTCGGAACTCTACAATGCAGTAATCCAACGATGTATTTCTCCATCTGTCAGACCTAAATGATAAGTTTAATGAATACACCCAAACTCGAAAGCTATTACTTACCTTTGCTGAAAAGATTCCACGAACAGTCAGCCCCACCATAGGCGAAAACCTAAGTTCGACACCCGGATCAATTATTAATTCTCCAGTCTTCTCGACAATGAGATCTTCCCGGAGCAGATAAGGGCTGTGGATTTTGTTTAGTCTTTGTTGTCTGTTCGCTATCACTCCTCCAGCTAATTCTGTCACTTGTTCCTCTGGCGGTCTAGGTGTTATGACCATCGACTGGGTTGATTGTGGAAGAAATGTTAGCGTTTCGACATCGTCGTCTATATCAGCAGCCACTCCAAAAATCGCTATAAGCATAACCACACTCAAAAAATATATCCCACTGATCATTCTTCTTGAAGCTCCTGTCCTGAACCTGGAGAATCGCCACATTGTTTTCCTCTTGAATAATTCCATTTCATCTGCTTCCGTAAACACAAACACTTTTTAAAACAATTCAGCAAAGATAAATACAGTAATATAAGTGCACTTCGTCGGTTGAAATCACGGACCTATAGTGACTGTTTTCCTATCCATCTCCCGGATTACTCATGTTGCCTCCGCACCTCGTTTACCTTCACATCTGATCACTACACTGAATCACATTTCAAGCACTTCACTCGTTCATCACGCAACATGTAAAATAATACTGAGCTGGTACCCAACATAGTTAACGTAAACATTTAAATTTCAAATAGTCAAACACACATACAAGCGTCGAAAAAGTTCGTTTGTCGAGTCTATCTTATGAGAAACAAAGATAGTCGTTTTTTAACTTCGCGTACTTTTACCGTCAAGCGACCACTTGTTTCTGATATTCTCGCTTCTGATTGGGTGCGGCATATACCAGAATAGAACGTCAGTTTTTGAAAACGACTATTCCGTTGTCACGTGACTGTAAACGTCATGGTACGTCAGGTATGGTATGCAGTACCCTCCCCACTCTTCCACACCTGTGATATTGTCTGTTGTTTATATCTTTAACGTTCCTGCCCGCTAGTACCTGGTGGAGCCACAGTCCAGACAGGTAAGCAAATGACGATAGCTCTCCGCGGCTTTCGAGACCGACTGCTAGTCGGACACGAGAAACTTCCTTCTCTTTACTCATTCCTTCTCCTCTTACGCACGCGACTGGGTTCGTTTGACGAGTACAGTCATTGCAGAAAGTTAGTGAAATGCTATAAAGACCTTGAGGAATTAACTACCCTTTGTTCGATTGTCTTACGCAGTCATTCCCCTTCTTTCTCCTCCCTTCGTGGACCAGCACTTGAACATCTCGGTGCACTCACATACACGCCTACACTCTCTCTCTCGCTCGCTCTCTCCCTGCAGATTCCGTTGTTTAAAAAACCGGTTTGTCATGGCCAGGTGAGAGAGTTTCTACCTGGCTTTTAAATAGAATACCCGTAATGATAAAAGGTTCTGCTTCCAGTAGGAGTAAGGGCTTTAATAAACCCTCCTAACATCAACAGGAAGCCTGCGACATTCTGCGTAGGGTTCGTGCGAAGGAAATAGAATGAAGGCAGTTCTATTGTCATTCCCCTTCCAAATATCCATAGCATGGGACGTCTGTTTCGAAAGTAAAAAGGGATTGCAAAAAGCTTCCATTCTTGTTTGCATCAAAATTACGCATCAAAGTCTGTGTCACTCACCAACCAATTCATATGAGGTCTCAAATTTTCACGATGGTGAAGACTGAGAATGTGACCCTTAAAAGACATTAACGCAATCGTTTACAATGTTGTTTCCAACATTTCAAGTGATCTTACCTTCCAGCATTTTCTTACAGCTTGGAAAGACCGCTCAATGTCACTAATATAATGGTGCAAAGCCTTTCTTGAAAAGGCGACAGTTTCTCAAGGCATTCCCCGCCTCTTGCTAAATCCGAAGACGCATTACTGTGTTCAAAAAAACGTAAATTGGATTATATGACAAAACAGTTAAATCCATTGCACACATTCCTTATACAAAATGCTCTTTAATATTATCTTCAATCTATGCCTAGGTCTTCCGAATGATTTCTTTCATTTACGTTCCTTCGTGTAAAAATCTATATGCATTTCTCATCTTCCCTGAGTGCTCCATAATCCGACCTTTTTGATAACCCTTAGCGTGTTCATCCTGCAGTGTATGGTGGTGTAGAAAATTAAACGGTATTAAGACGTTAATATTGGTTTTATTTACTTATGAATCGTTCTGTCCACATTAAACCCCTTCTTGATAAAGCTGTCCTAATGATACCGTATCTAAATAACAATTACATCATGCAGGTATAAGATAAGTCGAACACAGTGGCCTCGCGGTCTAAGGCAAGAACAGTCTTCGCCTGCTCGAACTCTGGGACCATGGGTTCGAATCCCACTCGAGGCACGGATGTCTGTCTACGTATATTTTGTGTAGGTGGCAACCTTGCGACTAGCTGATCCCCCGTCCAAGGAGTCCTACTGACTGTATAAATTATGAAACTGAAAAAACTGCCAAGGTCCAAAGGGCTGTAGAGCCAGATATATATATAAGATGTTATGATAAACGATTGTAAATTATGGAACTTATCATGTAACTTTCTCTGTCGTTCTATAACTTCCATTTACTAAATTAAAATATTCTTCTCAGTACTTTGCTCCCAAACGCCTAAATTCTATAGTCTTCTCTTACAGTGATATATTTTCTAAGAAATTACTAGCGTACTAGGCCAGCCTGTTAGCACGAATTTTTGCGCTTTACAGTATGAATTTATTGTAACTCGCCGATGTACTCGTACATACAACTTACTACAAACCAAGGGTTCTGAGAGAACGCATAAATCTTAATTTTCTGCATCCTGTTGTGTATGATGCATTAAAGGTACACTTAGGGTCCATCAAAAGGGCCGCGCCATAGCTCAAGCGGTTAGTCGCTGGTTTCCCACCGCGGAGGCCAGGGTTCGATCCCGGGTCTGGTCAAGTAGGATTTGTGGTGGACGAAGTGGCGCTGGGGCAGGTTTTCTCCGACTACTTCGGCTTCCCCTGCCAATCTTCATTTAACCAATTGCTCCACAATCACCCTCACCTATCATCTGGGCCTGGTACAATAGGCCAGAAGTGGCCGCAGTATAAGGGACTTAGTCACACCCCACTAGGAATAAAAAAAAAAAAGGGTCCATCAACACAACCGCCAATTATAAACCGACATTAAAATATTTAGTGTTCGGGTTATTTTAGTATTATCATCCCACTACATGTTCAGTCTATCAAAATCATCAGGTGATTTTTATGAATTACAAATATGTCATCATTGAATTATCAAGATGGACCCATTTTTTTGCATTTATCAGTAATATTATAATCTAAATATTAATTTAAGTTTTTGTATGGGATATGCCTCGAATAATGCAGCTAAAGATAAAAGAATTAAAAGTTAAAATCTAGTAGTTATATAAAATGAGATTAAAATGGAATTATAACATTTTCACGTGCCTAATAAACACAGAAAACCAGGATGTTAACCAATAACCTATACCCTAAACATACCATTTCCCCCATTTCAAATATTAAAAAAATATAATTCATTTTTTATCTCGTTTTATTTAAGTACTAGATTTCAACTTTCAACACGTTTAACATACATTATTCGAGACATATCCCACAAAAAAAAAATACACTTAAAACCAAAAATTTAAGTTATATTACTGATAAATACAAAAAGTTGATCAATATTAATAATTAAATAACGATATATGCATTCATAGAAACCACCTGATGATGATCATGATGGATCAAAATATGTAGTAGGAAGAAAATAAAACAACACAAATATTAAACATTTTAATGTCGGTTTATAATCAAGAACACACAAAGCATTCTAGTCTTGCAGATGTTTTACTCTGTTATTGTTATTATTTTATTTTTGTGAGGAACCTATTACTTGAGTTCCAGTTCTCTATTAAATTAGCCGAATATAACCCCCGATTTTCGCTGTTGCCAGTTTATGATTGTTGACATGCAAACCATATTTCATACATAATGCAGAGGTATGCTTATGATCTATATTGGTACCGAAGTTTACATGCCTAGCTCTATGTCCCTTGTAGTGCAGCCACTTCTGGCCTATTGTATCAGCCCCAGATGATATGTGAGGGTGATTGTGGAGCAATTGCTGGAATGAAGATTGGTAGGGGAAACCAAAGTACTCAGGGAAAACCTGCCCCAGCACCATTTTGTCCACCATAAATCCTACTTGACTAGACCCGGGATCAACCCCAGGCCGCCACAGTGGAAAGCCAACAACTAACCGCTTGAGCTATGGCACTCAGTTGCGATAATAGATATACCAACTTTCTTAAAGACTGGTTCACACATCCAGAAGTTTATGAGGGGGTGGGGATACACAGACATACAGATAACATAAGCTTACTTTAGGAAAGTAAGCCAAAAAGTATGGATGAATAAATAAACAAATAAATAACTAAATAAATATTGAAAACTTCTGCTTACCAGCCTGTAAAATAAACTTACCTCAGGTGACCATATTTCTGAAGCTCTCTTTATTCTTTAAGGATATAGATAAGGGATATAATAACTTAACACTTTTAATACATTTCATTATTGTCACAGCTGATAAAAATTTCTTTAAGGTAATACTACACCTTCAAAATCTCATAGTAATTGTATGATTTATTATAAAGAAAGGTAAATATAAAGAAAATAAATATCACAGTATTAATAACAATACAACAAACTTCTTCCTTGACTAACAGATGTGTATACAGGAAATTCAAATGTACATATTTCAATCTTAAAATGCTTACTGACAGAAATTACGCACTTATAGCAGCTGCCAGTGAACATCAGTGTACCTGTGAGCCAGACCAAAATATATAGTTTAACTTGTTACAAATTCTTATATGTAAACGATTGATTAATCCTTAGGTTATTTAATGCTGCTGTTTCAGTTACAAAGTTTATACAGAGGCAAAAGAGATGTAAAGGTGATCATGAATTTTAACTTGGGTAAATACTTGGAAGGACAATTCTTGCACATCACAAAACATAGAATGCCTTATGAGGACAAGTTTGACCATCCAGAAATGGATGCTAATAATATTTTACACTGGGAACTCTTGGAAAGTAATTACTTACAATATTAAAGACCACATGGAAGAATATATTAAAGCTGAAGTTACAGAAGGTTCTAATTATGAGAGTTGGATTAAACTGTATCAAATGGTAGGCACAAGTTTTAGTGGTGCTGAACCTTTAGATTATCTTAACCTTGATATTTATTTCATTAAACAATAACTCAATTACAAAACGTTCAGATAAAAGTGTGACCAATACAGATGATGCACATTTTCCATTCATAACTACTCATTTTAGAAAAATCTGATTTCCTACTATATGTTCCTTTTGCACTATGACATCATGGACATAGGGAAATAGAAACAACTGAATGACAATGACACATTCTTATCAGCGTCTTCTAGGACATGATGACATGTAGATCGGTAGATAAGTACCAATGTTTTGATGGAACCTGTTACTCCCATCTTCTCCTCTATCATGAAGATGGAGTGAGCAGGTTCTTCCAAAATGTGGAAATATGTCCACCAAAGTACATAGTATCATGTACCACAAGAATGATCTTAACAAACTGTAAGAACCTCAAACTTCATCTAACAATATTGTGACGTGCTATCTTACGTCCATCACCGCGCAACGGCTACAATGGAAATTGTGGAGATCCCACAGCGACAAATCGTAGCGACGAATTGCCATTGAGTAACAACGGATGAGACGAGACATGTTACCTATCTATAAAGAGCGTTCCCGAAGCAACAGATAGCCAAACACGTGAGACCAAACCTTGGCGAGAGGTGTCCTCTACTAAGTCCACACAACACCTACACAAGCCGAGAGCTAGACAGCAAAAATACAGCTGGAACCTAGTCAAGACATCGCAGAAGTCACGTGATACTACAACTGATAATAATTGTAAAGAGTGTAAGAGGGAGTATCCAATAAAGATTCGCTAGATCCAAGACCCACATGAAGTTATTTGTCGTATGACATACCCAACAAGTGACAATATATTCAAATGAGTCTGTGCTGTTATTAGTATAACATTTATTGTATATTACTGCTATAGAGTGGCTATACTTTGTGTGTGTGAATGTTCTGGATGTTCCTTTGCACTCCTGCAACTAACATAATTAATGTGGCTTATCACTCTTGCTCAGAAATAGTGGGAGGGAGCTTCCTGTGCATAGATGCCAACAATGGTCATTGATTGTGAGGACTGGAGATGTTATGTACAAAGTACAGGGCCATGATTTTCAAGTACAGGTATTTTTATAACAAAATAACATTATGAATGATCAGTCATACACAGCATTACCCAGTTTTATTCAAATTGCAGATGTTTTGTTTCCATGCCCTAAACAAACTCAAACCTAAATGTTTTTTACATGTTCATAGGCAAATTTTCACTTACATACATGTGAAAAAGGAAGTCCAACAAGCAGATGGAATGACCAATTTAACTTCTGAATTTCAGAATGTGCTTCAAAGCAGTTCTTATAGTAGTTGGAGGTTAAAAGTACAGACATAATCATCAATTTGTAGCTTTTCAGTTTATACTGTAACATGGCACCAGAAGGCTGGAATAAAGGGGCCAGGACAAATTATCTGCTGCTAAGTAATGGTCCAATAAATGTGTATCGCAGCAATGGATATGCATGCAACAGCAGAGGAAATGTTGGAAATGCTTTTTACTAAGCAGCCCATCCCAAGGTTATGACATATATGACGCAGACCAACAGAAAAAGTCACTTAGCTGGGAGCCAACAGTTGAGGTCCAGTTGTGAGAAGGTACAGTTGGGAACAATGTAAGCGGAAGACATTTTGACAGCTGCCTCCAAGCAATGTAAGTAAAAGTAAAGATATCCCTGTAAGAGGCCGTGAAGGCCCATAGGGTTGTGAGATGTTAAGGGTTCCACATTTTCTAGACAATCGGTTCAAAGATGGCGGTAAGGTTGTCAGCCTTAAGCGCCGGCTGCGCTTTACTTCCCAGGAAAATTATTTAATTAATTCCTGGTACTCATCTCTGTTAGAGGCTGAGTCGACCCCAGGGCCATAGTGCAACTGGAAGGATGAGGGCAATTGAAAAAATCCAGTGACCTCATTGGAATGACTATGTGAAAACACAGTTGATTGGGAAGACCTAGGATGTGCTGCAGTAAGATGTAAAGTGTGTAGATTAGTTATAGTGTTATGATTGTATGTAGTTATGAGTTTCAAAAAATGAAATTACCAATCCAAACCCTGAGTCTAGTCACTAACACATGGTAATATTCATAATTTTGTTATATTCTGCTATATCTACATAAAATATTATTTAAAACTGATGTTATCATGGCAGATTTTTGGTAAGGAATGCAGCCATTAACAATTTTTTGCTTGAGAACTGCTGGTTATGAAAGAAATACTGCATTAACAAACAAGACTGCATCTAAAAATTTCACAAAAGATATACATGTATTACACAACTGAAACAGTTACTGAAGTACAACAGGTAAAGTTGGCAGTGTATATGCACCATCTCATGGGAATGCATAGGGAATATGGAGATAAAACTCCACATAATTTAACCTTGGCTCTATATGAAGGTGAATGGTCAGCTTAATGCTCTAGCCTGGAGAAAGAGCTCTCAATACCCACTGAACAGAAGGGTAGGTGGGCCCCAGAAACAGCATGGATGACAAAAATCTCTGCCAGTTCCACCAATCCAGCCGACAGCCAGTCACAATGCTGACTAACTGGTCTCAGTTCATTCACTGAAGTCATGCTTATATTAGTACTGAAGAAAACAATTTCAGTTTTTGTAAGTTTTGAGGTTTTCACGGCGATGACAATGAAGAAAGACAGTTTTTGTTTGAAATTCAAGTTTGACTTTCAAAGGTAACTTGTACAAGTAAAACTCAGAGGTACAGACATCAATGGCAGCTGGAAACAGTAAATGACTCTCCATTCACTCCTATTTTTGAGTTATTCCATTACTCATTCCTTTAATATGTCATTTCAAATTTCTTCTACAGTGTTGCATACAACCTATTACTGATAAAATTCATATTCTGTCACAACTTCTTAATTTTTCATACTGTTGATGGGTTCCTCTCACAAAACACAGTACAACAAATTTTCATCTTCTCTTTTCATGCTTCATTTTAATTTATTTCAAGATGACATAACAATCTGCTGAATAAAATATGGCACATCTCACTTGTAAAAAATATATACATACAATATTTTTTATCACAACCAATTAGCTTTCACTAACATAACAAAGGAAACTCCAGGAGCTACTGTACCAAGTCACAGAAGGGATATGTTTGCTCTGTGAACTGCTGAAGAATGTACCTCATCTGACACCATAAATTCATGTAACAAAATATTTGTTTGCATAAACATAGCTTTATAATTTAGTTTTCTTGTGTTTTGTAATATTTCTTAAATTTATAAATATGTACACATTCTTGCTATACTGAATGCATAGAATGGCTATGGTATGTAATAATCTCATTTAGAAAAGTAACACAGATTGAAATATAATCTTGTTCTAACACTATGCAGAATAACACACAAACAATGTTACTCAGAAACCACAGGCCATGCAGCAAAGAACACAGCCGCTACACATTATTTTCATTTTTATAAGAAAATTTGTTATTGGCAGGTGGATTGGCCTTTGCTTAATGCAGCTGATTAATATGCTGAAATGTCTAAAATCAAACCCTGTTAACTCTCTCTCTCTCTTTCTTGCCCTGCCATAACACAACCCATAGCCTACACTCTATTAATATTGAGATTATAAACCTTATAACTGTTGTGGCAGTAGTCAGTCATAGCAGACCAATGGTAAGTTACACTTGCCATCTCTTTTGCTTGGTACCTTGTATATCATTTTAATTCTTACTGCATCTCAATTATAATTCATCAAAATATCCATGAAGGTCTGTTCTGCTACACCTGGATTAGAAAAGATGACAGTTCAAGGCACAGAAATTGAATATGACAAACTGGAATTCTGGTAAGCAAAAATTTTTATTTCATAACATAGAGAGAAACTTAAATCTTGCTACACTGATCACAAACAACACGGGAACCAAATTTCTATTTCTTAGTATGAAATTAACTTGAATTCCATAATTATGCAACAGAATTGAATACTATTTGTTCATGCAGGAAATGTATTTTGTTAAAATGAACACTGGTATGCTAGCAATAACTTCTTATATAATGTCATGAATAAGGGGTTTGTGTGACTAATAACAACGGGTTCTGGATTGGATGATTGGATTTACTGACACTTCTTTAGAATTACAATCAATTATAATCAATTATAACAGCTCACACTCAATGACTGCTCTTAGGCAGTCAAGAGAAGGACATTAGAGGAAATGATTCTGATGTCTGTACTAAGAACAAAACTTTTGGGCTACAACGTCAGAATTAGTCATATATACATATTAGATATCCCATTCAGAAGTTCTCTTGGGGACACTGCTCAACATACAAAACTGCCAGACTGTGGCTGCTGATTATTTTAGTTTCAGTACCATTAATGTCACTACAATTCTGTATGGGTCTCAAAGGGTCTGCATATTGTATCTGTGCATGTTCATGTCCAAGATTAACTTTCAAACCAGTTGACTGATTTCTCATAAATTTAACATGAAAGTCATACCACTGGAGGTAACCTTAAATTTTCAATGATTCCAGCATGACACCCTTTAAACACAAGTGGGTTGTGGGAACGTCCCACAGTGCATAACAGACAACTCCCGTAGTGCACCAAAAACAGGCAATATTTATACATCACTTGCAGCCTGGTTCTCTGGACACCAACATAAGCGCTATCCAATCAGCGCCCATAATAGCAGCTCCATTGCCAACTAGTCTGCGTGCCATGCAGCGATATTAGTATAAAGATGCGGGCCTCCGACTGGCTACCATCAGTTTTATCAGTCAACGCTTCACTGCAAGCAGAAGACCAACACCGCTCCACTCTCCAGTAAGCAGAGCAGCACCGACTCTGCCAGTGCACGCACCATAGTGCCTATCCAGCCGGACTCACTGCTATCCTGCCAGCTCGTAAGCCCCCAGTGGCCACTAAGAAGAACACCGGGCTGCTACTAAGAAGACATGGGGAAGCAAAAGAAGAACACTGGTCTGTTGCAAGGAAACACACCATGCTTGCTAGCTCGCTCCAACAGAGGCTAAACAAAACGGCCCTTTTTAGGGCCTCCACTCAGCACCGTCATCACTAGGCAGGGCTAACTGCCATGAAAAGTCTCCACCAGTATTCTTCAGACACGCTCCCCGCTCGTCTGTGATACCAGTTTTAAGTGAAGTGAACATTTATTTCTATAGTTACGTGGTTGTCTCAACTAACATCAACATCCCACAGAGTAAACACAACCATAATATATACAGTTCAAATACTTTGTCTAATGAAAGGTGTTTTAAATCATATGAAACTCTTGTTATTGGCATTTGTGTAGAAAAATAACAGAAAATATGAAACAGAACAAGCCATATATGGATGAACATATTAAAGTGATGTCTTCCTGCCCAACAGGTACCATTTCACATTCTGATTAATGAGATTAGTAAGTGAAAGAGTTATAATAGATTATTTTATTTTCTCTTGCCTTACACATATTCAGCAATGCATGATGCACACTATTACATTATTCAGTACTGCTGTATGGACTGCTAGGGTTACGAGGTACTGAGTAACATGGCGAGAAGGACGAGGCTTTTCAACTGAGCAAGATTATAATCTTGCTGGAATATTATTAATAATATTAATTAATTAATAATATTAATAATTAATATTAATTATTATTAATATCAATATTAATATTAATTATTATAATTAATATTAATAATTAATATTAATTTATTATAATAGATAATTATCTATTCCAGGACCACAACCCACATATCACCGCCACTCCTATGGATGGTAATAATATCTATGGCAAAACAATTTCACACTTGTCATTTACAATTCAGGTCTGTATAACCAATGAAAAACACACTCCTCCATACCTGTATGAAAAATAATACAATGTGTTACATGAACTTGTCATGTCAGAATTACCTGTTTCGATCCATTAATAAAACTCTTGGTGGGCTAACTTATAAAAGTGTGAGTCTCTGTTTTGTAATAGTGTGTCTGGGCAATCAAACTCCAGTACTTCACCATCTCGCATCACCAACACTCTGGAACAGAGTACAACATTCACTGGACAACACGCTTATATTAAGTGGGAGTCAGGATATCTCAGTTGGCACAGTGATGGGCTATTTACTCGATGGTTTGGGATCAATTCTCAGGAGGAGAAAAAGATTTTTCTCTTTACCACAGTGTCCAGACTAGCTCTGGGGTACACTCAGCCTCCTATCCAAAGGGTACCAGGGAATCTTTCCCCAGGGCTAAAGAAGCTGGTGTATGATGCTGATGATTCATTTACATTCAGTGTCAAGGTCAAGAAATGTGGAGCTATACCTTCATTCCCCCACACATCTTCATGGTGTGGTGCTTAATTCATTAAGCACAGGGACAGCTTTACCTTTCAACTATTCCAGAACGTTCCTCAAATGATTGAGAACCTTGACAGGATACCCAGCCTCACACTCCCTCCAAACTTATAGCAGGATATAATAGTTAGTGTTCACACACTTCCATACATCTTAAAAAAAAACAACAAAAATAATGGTAACGATGAACATGGTAATGAGTTTAATGTGTAACAAAAAGCAGACTTGTTCCTGTGCTTAACTAAGCACTATGTCACAAAAACATACACTGAAATGAAGGTATAATTCTACATATTCCTAATGATTACACAACTTCATGATCTGGCTGCTTTACCCCTGGAGAAAGAGACTTCAGTATCCACTGGATAAGTGGATGGGCAGGTCCTACAACTAGTCTGGATACTGTGGAGAAGATAAAAATACTTTACTTCTCAGTCATCTATTGCATAGCCTAATCACTACACCAACTGAGCTACCCCAGGTATACTTTCTAATATGTACCAGGTAAGAAAATATATTCTTAACCTACTCTATATTGAGACGACATCTCTATTCATATGACAAGTCCTTAGCACTCAATAGATAGAAGGATAAGTGGCCCCAATCCCAAATGTGTCACTGAAGATATCCACAATCTTACTAGGAATGGAACTTGCAAAGTTTTGTTCGCAGACTGTCCCTTCACTAAGGTATTACATTACTTACTTACTTATGGAGCTGACCCATTCTTGAGAAGCCACTCAAGATTTTCCCAGCATTTTATGGAACCCGATGGTTCATTACCGTGTTCACAAGAGCCCTCCACTGGTCCCTACCCTGAGCCAGATCAATCTAATCCATACCATCCCATCCTTTTTCTATGAAATCCATTTTAATATTATCCACCCACCTGTGCCTTGGTCTTCCCAGTGGTCTCTTTCCTTCTGACTTTCCTACCAATATCCTATATGCATTTCTTTTATCCCCCATTCATGCTAAGGCATACAATGTGCAATATGCATCAAAAATAAATTTCTCTCAAAATGAAAACAGTTTTACAAAAATAACTACTACATTATTGCAGTATTAAATACTACAAAGTTTACTTCATTATCTCATCATATCATTTCTTTTGATATCTCATAAAATGTGTTTTTGTGCCATAGCTCTGGTGGTTAAATACTGTGAGCCTGAGCACAAACCCAGAGGAGTCCATGCTGGATTTGTAACACACTAAGTGGCATCAGAACAGGCTTCATTTTTCTCCCGTCTGTGACCATTCTCCATCTTGCCCTCAACTCATGCATCCACTTCTCCCACCCAGTTACCCACCATGGGCTGGTACAAGAGACACATGTCATACTGCAGAACCAACAGCAACTCTCTAACAACACTTCTATAAAAAGCCCATAATAGTTCACACCAATCTGAACATTACCACAACGTCAACACTCAGTTGGGGTTTTCCTTCTCATATGACAAATGGAAAAATATTTCATTATATGTAATTTCCATAGAATATAAAGCATTATGTACGGTCACCTAAATGATATTTTCAACAGTTTTTGCATGACTTCAATGTCCACGGCATCCTCAAGAATGTAACCATCACATAAATGGAAGAGTGACTGCACTTGTTTGTTACCTGTCTGAATCCATGACTGTACGAATTCTGTGTGCAATGGTTATTACAGTGCTCTTCTGGAACGATGTTCGCAGAGTATGCTGAATGTGTCGATCCGTTTCTGTATCTACATTTGCTGTTGCCTCATCAATGCACAAGATCTATGACAGAGTAAGAAAATTCTATCAAAACTAATTCCATGAAGCACAACACAGCCCTTTTTGAAAAGCTGATAATCAACAAAGTACCACCTGTCATGAGACCTGAAGGTTCACTACCGTGTCCACAAAACTGTGAATCCTATCCTCAGTCAGATGTTCTAGCCCCTATACATACAGCATACTTCTTCAATATCCTCCCATTTGAGCTGACATCTGTCAATTGGACTCTTCCATTCACATTTCCTGATGAAAATTCCGAATGCATTTCTGATTTCCTGATTAAAACATTAGTTATTTTATAAATTTAGCTTTGTGTCTGTAAAAATAAAATACAAGACTGACTAATTATGACTTTGTAGATTCTAAAGGGTTTTGTTGATGGTGCATAACACACAGAATTACTGGGTTTTTGGAATTTTTCCATTATCCAGAATTCTAGGTAATAGAGGACACGATGTTTCAGAAACTGAATCTGTTTCCATCTTTGGGTGAAAAAGGAAGACACCTACTCAGTTGGGCCCCTTAAAAAGAGCTAATCTCAATCACTGGACAACTCCTGTCAGATTTACCCAGCTATTTCAACATACAAGACTAGGCCCTGAACTATGATTAAACACATCTGTCAATACCACACCTACCTTTGCATTATGAAGCACAGCTCTGACTAAGCAAAGAAGCTGGCGCTGTCCCACAGATAGATTATGACCACCATGTTCTACCTGGGATCCCAAACCTCCTAATCTGTTGATTGCAGTAGTCAAATGGCATCGTTGCAGTGCCCCAGCTAACTCAGAATCACGGTACTCATCCAGGGGGTCAATATTCTCTCTCACAGTTCCACAGAAAAGGAAAGGTTCCTGAGGAATAATAGCGACACGAGATCTGAAACAGAAGACATAATAATAAAGAAAGAGGAATACCAGTATTAACAAATTTGAAAAAGTAGAATTTGTACAAACCTGACAGAATAAAAACACAAAAAAGAAAAAAAAAATAATAAAGTGACTTATACCTTAGATCAGGAATATTATCACACATCAGGGCATCAGGAATTTAAGACACACAAACAGAAAAGCATGCACAAAGTCATGATATTAATAAGTATGTGTTTGTGGCATGTATTTTAACCTTTTCAAAGTTGGGTTTAATCAAGAAATGCCATTCTTTGATTTTGCAAACCAAAACGATGTCAGACTGTTAGATTATTCAAATATGTATCTTGAAACATCAAGCAGCACACAATACAAGATTACAATCAACATGATGAAGGAGAAATGAAACTATACATGACTGAATTATGCATTTCCTATTAGTGGTCCATTTAATGATGCCTTCACAATAATTTAATGTTTCATAGGTCCATACAACAACTCTTTCAAAGTAAGGTCCACACATTTTTAACACATCTAATGAAGATTCTGTGATATGATGCACAAATATTAGAACTGCGTAGACAGAGAATTGTCACATGTGTACCCATTGATGCAACAGCATGTTAAAACACACTTCTGTGGCAACAGATGGTCTGCACTGAAGCTATATGAGGACAGCCAATGAGAATCAAGGAAGCTATCATTAACAGGAGCCACTGAGCAGAAAAATATCATGGACAATCCCACTTACTAGACACTCTTACCAACTAACAAGCATGTGAAGATACGGCAGACTGGAAAGTGTTGTAGTTATTTGAAGATTAAGAAGAATGACAAAAGTGTTGTAATTATTTTTAGTTGAGAGTAATTAGCACCAAATAAGTTAAATTATCAATCTGAACCCTGCCTCTAGTTACTAGCCTGTGACAATATCTTCAATAGTTGTGAGATTTGAGTTTCTCACAACACATCAACATCACTGGCTTCTGGCATGTTGACATCATGGAGTTTGATAAGAGAGATACCAATGTTCCAAAATCTGAAGATGGAGGTGGAAGGTTCCTCCAAAGTATTTGTGTCATCTAGAAAATTACACGGAATCACATTCCAAGAGGCCATAATCTTGATCTTCAACCATCTGTACATGCTACACCTTATTTAAATACTGTTAAAATCAGTCCATGTACTGCAATGTGATGTCATTCATTCTTTCATTTTTACAAACTGATTTCATTTTTTCCATACCTTTTAATCACAACGTTTGTTGCACTCATTTTCCTGTCTTTTTCACAGTTCCTGGACTGTCTTGTTGTGTCTTATTGCCAGTAAATATTCCTCCTTGTGTTTGCATCTCTTCTCCTTCTAACGCTCTCCCGTGTTCATTTTATACCGCTTGTATTTATTTGTTCACCTGTTCTTTCCTTCTTCATGTGTTGCCCCTTGCCTTTCTATTTTAGTGCATAGTGTATTTTGTGTCAAACCACTCAACACATGCTTCTGAGAGCCTGGATATACTGATGTCACATTACATTGGTCACCGTCTACATCCCTTCTAGTACTGAGACCTGTTACAGATTACTGAAAGAACCCTTGTTCTGTTTCAAAGATCTTACAAAACTTCTTTCCTATTAGTTAATAGTTTAAGATATTCCTTGGAATCCTGTCAGAGCTCATCCTGCGAACATCCAACCTCTTCTGTATATTTATATGTCTCTTATAATTTAATTTATTTTAAGGTTCAAACGGCATATCCCACAATCATACCCACGAATGCATTACAACTATCAATCTTTTCACCTGAATTCTTCTGAGATAATGATGATTTGGCGAACATAATATTCATATTCTTTTACGCTTGCAAATTAGTGACAGTTCAAAAATCTTATTTATAATTTCCGGTATTTTGAAAAAAATATAAAATTTTATGTTGATACTCTTTTTCCTTCACAGGATATGTTACATCCCAAACATTTAAAAATATTAAAATGTTAATGCATATCTTGCTTCTAATTAAGTCTGTCTTCTGGACTGCATATTGTAAGTATATTCCAGAAGACTGAATCATGGCAAAGCAGCTGTTATAGCCAAAGTGAAGGAAATTCCACTGCATAATACCAGAAGACCTGGACATGGCAGAACAACCACTGACTATGATACAGAAAAAATGTCACATCAGTGTTTAAAATCACTTAAATTTTTCAACCTCACTTCATTTCATTTGTGCTTTCAATACAACTCTCTGGTGAACACGCCATGAATGAAGCTGACTTCACATTAAACCACACAACTAATTAATCAATACCTATGTACTGTGGTGATACTTTCCTAGCACTCACCGTAAACTTCTAAGACCAATATGGGCTATATTCACTGTGTCTATAAGAATTTCCCCACCACTGATTTCAGTAAGTCTGAACAAGGCCATGAACAGTGAGCTCTTGCCAGCACCTGTTCGACCAACCACACCAATCTTCTCTGCAGGACGAGTAGAGAAACTTACTCCCTTTAGAGAAGGCGCCAAATGCTCTCTGTAACAGAATATATCAATAACAAACAGAAATACAGTTAAGTTATACAAAGTCGTGTTGTAACAACAGCGGCAGAAACAACAAACCGTCCACCTTTAACTTTTAAAAATGAAACAAAACAGAAGAGTGAAGTAGTAGTAAATTTCATTTCGAAGGTAACTGGCCCAAGTATCAGTTACATTTTCTGGCTTTCTGAGGTTTTCCTCAGACTGCCCAGGCAAATGCAGGATAGTACTTTCAAGTGGGACATGGCCATCTCCTTCCAAATCCACATATACTTACCATTTTCTATAATCTTCTAATCTCACTTGACACCATATAAACTCTGCAGTTGAAACAGCATCATTAAATACCATAATACTCTATAATGTGTAAAAACAAAGGTTATGTCTGAAATAAGAACTGTAATATGAAATGGGATACCAATAAAAATATATATAACTTAAAACAAGTATTTTATTTTATTACATTTTGTAACTTGTTCCAGAAAAAAATGTGCACATTTCATGAACTTTAATTAAATAAAGAGGAATGTTGATCTACTTAAATTAAGAACAAATATTTCTGGAGAGGGCATGTTCATTCAACAATGCCTACAAGAAAATATGGAAATTTTAAGTTTTCATATATAAAATCCTTTTGTCTCCCCAGTTTTCTTCATTTCTGCATCTCTGGTCTGGTTACTAAAACTGTTTCATTACATGATCTATATCTTCTGCCTGGCGGAAAAGTATAAGTGTAAACTGACGTGTAAAGTGATACAATAATTGTAAGGTTTTAAACTGGATCTGAAGGATTTCTTGTGTTGCCTTCCATTTTATACACTGGAGAATAATTTGATTTTGAATATGATAAAAATAAAGATATAATTTCTTTGTAATAAAAGATTAATCATATATAGTTTTTAATATTAGGTTTTTAGTATTTTTTGTGCCAATAAATGTTATGATATTGTGTAGTGTTGCTTGACTATGTGTACATTTGTACTGTTTCTTTTTTTCTTTTCTATTAGTTATGACAATTTCCATATCCTTATACTTTGTATGGATCTATGGAAATAGATGTATATGTATGTATGTGTGTATGTATGTATGTACTATGTGGCACAATGGTGATAAATAATAGCAAATAATTTTGTCGGTAACACAGTGGCTGGTTATTTAATAAAAAAAAAGGGGGGGGTCACAAAAAGAAAGAGTGTGTCAGTAACACACATATGCTACTAACTAAACAACCATCCAATCAACTAAACAAACTACCTAAACTTAACTACCTTGACAAACAAACTAACTTCATGCAACCAAGTTCTTCTTGAGAAGCCAAGAGTTGCTTGGCTACTCAAGAATTTCCTAACATTTTAGCAAACCCTATGGGTCTGTGGGATTGTCGATGTTCTAAATGACAACCACGTGAAACTGTAACAATTGTATATATTAAATCGTATAAGCTGAATTTACAGAATAGCAGAATACAGAATATATGTGGAATGTTCAAAAGTTGGCTGGCCCTCTAAGGGCAGTTCGTTCCACCGCGAGTGTGCCGGCAGATTTCGCTCCTCCGTAGTAGGCGGAGTCTTACGGCCGTTCAGTTGGCCTGTCTGGATGATGTAGTGCTGCACGCGCCAGTAGAAACGGCTGCCTCAGCCGGTTGCTGGAGTTGCATAAGCTGTGTTCGCTGCCTGGTCGCTGGAGGCTTGTGGCTGCTACTTCGGTTGCCTGGTCGCTGGAGGCTTGCAGCAACTACGTCAGTTGCCTGGTCGCAGTGAAGAGCTGATGCCTCTGATGACTGATCACTCTGAACTGAGTGTGTTCGCTGATGCTTGTGAGCTTTGGGCTCCGCCTTTTATACCATGCTTGATGGAGGAGCGAAACTTGCAGTTGCGATTGTGAGCGCTGATTGGCTAGCGCACATTATGATCTAAATGTGAGCTGGACATCGAGTGCTGTTTAAATACAAGTGCTGCCAGCAATGTGATTGGTTAGCGCATGTGATGATCTGCAAGCGGGTTGGACATCGAGTGCTGTATAAATATGAGGGTCACCAGCAATGTGATATTCACTTAGGAGTGAGTGTTGTCTGAAAAACTGGCGAAACAGCGTGCTATGTGGGCTGTTGCCACAGGTCATTACTGTGTTCACAAGAGCCCACCACTGGTCCCTATCCTAAGTCAGAGAAATCCAGTTCATACCATGCCACCCTATTTTGATTTGTTACTATCATTTCCAAGTATCTGAACTTTGAAATGTCTTCAAAGGCTATATTAGCTGCCTTTATGCTGTAATTCTGTTCTGCATTCTGGTAATGAAACACCAACATGTACTCAGTTTTCTCTGTGTTTACTTCTAGACCAACCTCCTTACTAGCCTCAATTATATTTTCTGCATATTTTGTTACAGTATTTACATTATCCCCAAGTAGATATACCTGTACATAAGCAGCGCAGACTAGAAGCTGATCTGTCCAAGCCAGTTTCAGTCCCTCTTGGTTTTCTTAGACCTTCCTAATGGCGTATTCTAAAGCAAAGTTGCAAAACAATGGCAATAAAGTGTCTCCTTGTTTCAGACCATTCTGAATAGGAAATGTACCAGGCAAGTATTTTGCTAGGAGAATTTTACTACAGATTTCACTTAAACACATTTTCATAAGTTTAACTAGTTTAACGGGTATATCAAACTCAATAACAATAATGTACGATACTTCCCTCATAACTGAATCGTAGGGTTTCTTGAATTCTATGAATAGCTGATGCGCTGTCTCATTGTTCTCCCATTTTTCTTCCAGTATTTGACAAATACAAAAACTCCAATCAGTAACTGATATATTACGAGGGTTGGAACTTTAATGGTGGCAACTATTTATTTACAACTGATACAAAATAGCTGCATGTTTCGAAGTTTTACTGTCCTTCAATGTAGTCACCAGCATTGTGTACAATCCGTTGCCAGCGATGTGGAAGTCATAGGATACCTTTAGCAGCGCCTGTTGTGTTGATAGCTCGAATGGAGCGGTCTACTGCCTGAAGAATCCCTGGAACAGTTCTGAAGCGAATGCCACGAAGTGGTTCTCTCATCTTAGGAATCAAGTCGAAGTCACAAGGGCTTAAGTCCAGGGAGTATGGTGGATGGTACAGCACTTCCCAGCCCCATCGAGTGAACAAATCAGCCACAGCTTGCACTTCATTCGGCCAAGCACTGTCCTGAAAAAGACAGGTGGGTTCTGCAGAAAGTGTCACCGCTTCTTTCTCAAAGCTGGTTGCAGGTTGTGTGCCAAAAATGAACAGTAATACTGCACATTGACAGTCTGCTGTTGGGGAACAGTATGCGTTAGGATAACACCATCACAGTCATACACGAGAATCACCATAACTTTCACATTGCTGGGGTTCTGACGAACTTTTGATTTTCGTGGTGAACTGCAATGACGCCATTCGTTCGATTGGTGTTTCATTTGTGGCTCATACGATTTGACCCATGTCTCCTTCAGTTCACGAATCGTTTGGTGTCGATCACTCTCCAGTAATGTGGAAAGAGCATACACTTCTTCTTCACTGACACTAGGACGACCTGGCCGACACATGTCTGCCACATTTTGGCATCCCTCGAAGGATTTTACCCACCTTGCCACTGTTCTGTAAGGCAATGCAGATTCCCCGCAAGCCTCTTGAAGAGACTAACGTGTGGTATAAGCAACATTACTTGGTTCCATTGCATGGCGTCTCTACAGCAGCGTTGCCACTATTAAAGTTCTAACCCTCGTACATCAAATCCCACACCAATGATTCCAATAATTTCATCTATGTATAAATTTAACCTTGAGAGAAGGATGCTGGATATAACTGCTAACTTACCTAACCATATTAGCATAACTAACTCAAAAAGAGTTCTGTCTTTGGGGATATAATGCTGTGTAATCCACTTAAAGTCAACAGGTGTTTCAGAGGAACACGCTGAACAAGCAAAGCTTACTACCTGCTTCATGCTATTTCTTGCTTGGCTCAGTCTTTGACCCAAAGGATGGAGGCAAATTGTTTCCCTAAAATGTCAGTTGACTATCAACAGTCTTCATTACCACTGCTGTGAGAAACTCAAATCCAACATAAACTGACACAATTAGGTTAACTCAATTAACTAAACTAACTCTACTCATTAAATTCAATTAAGTAAATAAGACTGGTATTTTCCTTAAGCAGCTGATACTTTTTCAACACATCCAGAAATGCTCTGGTTAACTTTAAAAAACTATAAGTTTACCACTGTCCTCACTACAGCCTATCACTGGATTTTCTCACAAACCACCTCAATCTGTACTCACAACCTACTGCTTAAACATCAATAACATTATAATCCTTGTATCTATGTACAAGTCTTCTATGTGGCCTCTTCTCCTGAAGAATTCCAACCAAAACTTTATACACATTTCTCATATGTGTTACATGTCCCATCCATCTCATTCTTCTTGAAGTAATTATTTTAACAATATATGGTGAACAGCACAACTTGAAAAGTTCCTCAATGTCTAATTATATTTACTCATTTGCTGTCTTACCTTTCCATTCCCTGGTCATTCAGAATGAGAGATCAACAATGCAGTATACGAACTAAAATTAAGCAATATAGTATTGAAAGGACCAACTAAACACTGGTAACACTCACCTGTACTTGAGCACAACACTGGTGAAGGTGATGACACCCTGACTAGGCCAAGCAAATGGCGGAGCAATTATCTCCCTGTTCTTCTCAGGCTCTACCTGATCAATATATTGGCATGCTCTTTCCACAGCAATCATCTCTTTCTCTGTCTCAGTGAAAGCATTCACAACACCACTCAACAAACCAGTCACAGCCAGGGCATATGATATAGCCAGACCAATCAAACCTGCATTGAAGAACACTAATCAGAGTTGAACCAGAGCTAGGAACCATCTCTAAATTGTAGGTAGCAAGATACAAGAGCACACACAGTCTTTGAAATTCAAACCTTGTCTTAAATATGGTTTTGTATTATTACATACATGAAACATTTCAAGTCTGAGAAATAATGTAACGTGTCTGGAATCCGGAGGAGTCACTTCTATGGAAACACCAGAACAGACCGTTGCATAAGAAGTAACAATAGCGATACTGTAATTCCAACAGTGAGCTGTTGTATCGAGAACATCGAATCTCCACAGTTACGACAAACAAGCGTAGCGTTCCCACAGAGACAACGCAATAACAATGGGTCATTGCGTAGGAAACGCTGAACAAACAAAGCAATGTCTCCATGGTTTTAACAGAGGGTTCATTTGCCTAGCAGCGGCGAGGGTATAAATAGCCCAGCTTCGATGAGAAGCAGTCAGTCAGGAATTATCCGCCGCTGAAGGGGGTTGAAATATTACAGCGAAACAGTGAATAGTTACGGTACTCGTGATTGTGTAAGCGTGAAGAACGAACAATAAAGGTTCTACAGAATTTGATACGGCGTGAATTTATTTGTGGCGTGACACACAAACACGCTACAATATAAACAAACTGTTATGAAATACAAACCAGACATGTTTCAATCACTGAGACTAGAGGAACCCAGAACTCTTTCCCATGATTATGTTTCAGCCAGTAATCGTAACAGTTTAAGAGAAGAGGTTCTGGGCAGATGAAGTCTGCTTTCTTATTTCACAGATTTACAGACCTTCAATCTTGTGTTATTAATGTGCAATTCATGTAATGCAGATGTATAATCCAATGATAAAATATAGTTTGCCCATAGGTCAGCATCCTGGGCTGATGCACAGATGGCCACAGAACTGAAAGCTATTCATGTAAAAATATTTTCATTGCTTCCAATTGTAAAGATATTCAGGTTACTACCAGCACCACCTTCACTGTCTTCATCACTGTGGTTATTAACATTGTTACTTTCTTTTTGGGTTGAGCCTATAATTTCAGTACAGTTTCTGTCTACGTTAACTTTCTGGATATAATCTTAAAGTTTCCCACTAATGTATTGTTTATAATTACTGACTTATAACAATATTTCATACATCATATGTAAGAAAGTTTATAATGTGTGTTCATGCAAAATTTCATAAACCTAGCTTCAATGATGTCTTGTAATTACTGTTAAAGCATTCACAGTGCCATCAGGTTTGTTGTTTTACATTCTAAAAATTTACCCTAACTAAAGATCTGTTACCGAACATCATTTCAGGACCCCATACAAGTATGTGCAACCACAATGGTATTGTTACTAATTGCAGTTAGTTCAACAGTTGAAGGGAGAAACCATACTGAGTGCATGGTGATCTCATAAATCTATTTTCTTCCCTTAAGAAATGAAATTTAGCTGAAGAGACTCATACACAATCAATGCATAAAAGCATAAAGTACAAAATGTTTAACTTCTTTATTAAGACGGTTACAACACAACCACATCAAGGTCAGTGCCTGGTTTTGGATCTGCTACATGTTTCGGCTATTAACAGCCATCATCAGGCAAATATATGGCCAACATATATACACCACTGAACTGCAGTATTAATAAAATTGGATACAATAATATTAATTTTATTAATACTGCAGTTCAGTGCATATATATATTAGCCAGGTATTTGCCTGATGATGGCTCTTAATAGCCAAAACATGTAGCAGAGACAAAACCAGGCGCTGACCTTGATGTGGTTGTGTTGTAACGGTCTTAATAAAGAAGTTATATATTATAACACAACAGGATGCATGAAATGAAAATTACAAAATGTTTATCTCATTATGTTCTAAGAGCTGTGTAGAAAGTTAAAAGTGATATTTGAAAGAAAAGCTCTTCAAGGTAAAGCAATTAACCAGTGACCTGAAATCAGTATTTATAATTCTGGATCACAAGGCTCTGGGATATTCTAGCTAGAGTCTGGCGGGACAGTACCTATCTGTGAAATTACATGGTGTGAAATCCAGGAAGACTACGGTCCTCTTATTCATGTGACATTAACACAGCTACTGTGTTCAAATTAATGAAGGATGAGATTTTAAATATAACTTTCATGTCCTAGTGACCATTACAGGAAGGTGGGTTTAGCAGTAACACTCTAGACTCGTATCTCAGGTCACTGGTTTAAATCTTGGCTACGTCACTGGCTATGCAGACTGAAGTCTGTCATTGTCTTTAGTTTATTCCGGCAGATGTTGGGATAGTATCTTAAAACACGTCAAAACCACCAATTCCAAAATCAAAATTTAGTAACCATGACCACCTTCTCATATGATTCAATGCTTCTGCAGCTTATAAAGAGATGTTAAATAATCTAAAAATTATAATCAGTCCATCAATATCTATCAAACTGCACTAAGAAGTTACCAGCTGGTACAAATGTTCAAACAGGGCAACCAGACCTATGTGTAGAACCATAAAGCGATTTCTGGAATATTCACAATGAAAAGTTCCAATATGCACCTATTCACTTTGCTTTCTCTCTGTCTGTCTGTCAATCTCTCTGCAGGTAATGACTCAAAAATCACTGAACAGATCTTCAAGAAATGTGACAAGGAGCTGCAGAATTTAAGGTTCTCACAGCGGTTCTATCTGCTGGAATATAATACTGTGTAGTCGGCTCTCCATGTTAGGTGGGTCCCTTGTCACCACAGAATGGCGTGTCCTCAGGTTGCGGATGGAGGAGACACCCTCCAGTTTTGGAGGGAAGCTGCAACTATATTGAATAAGCAGTCGCGGAGAGCCAACAAGGGGTGGTCCTCCAGCTTGGAGGTCGGCCGTGGGGCTAACAAGTCCTCACCGTAGAAAATTACTTTGTTACAAAAATGAACACAAAGCCTCAGACCTGGATGGCTTCCTTTGATAAACGACTTAAGCTAAAGAAAATGGGTGTGAAACTTGGTCTCTGACATTAAGGGAGGAACATAGACTGAGGGTGTTTGAGAACAGGGTGTTGAAGAGAATATTTGGACCGAAGAGAGATGAAGTGACAGGAGGTTGGAGAAAACTGCATAATGAGGAGCTTCATAACTTGTACCCTTCTCCAAGTATAATTAGAATGATCAAGTCAAGGAGGATGAGGTGGGCAGGACATGTAGCACGAAAGGGGGAGGCGAGGAATGTTTAAAGGATATTAGTGGGAAAGCGAGAAGGAAAGAGACCACTGGGAAGACTAAGGTGTAGGTGGGTGGACATTATTAAAATGGATCTTAGATAGATAGGACAGGATGTTATGGACTGGATTGATGTGGCTCAGGATAGGGAGCAGTGGAGGGCTCTTGTGAACATGGTAATAAACCTTCGGGTTCCATGAAATGCTGGGAAATTCTTGAGTAGCTGAAGAACTGGCAGCTCCTCGAGAAGGGCTCAGCTCCATGAGTAAGTAAGTAAGTAAGTAATCAGCTATGCTTGCCAACTGCTTCATGCTGATTTCTTGTTTGGCTTATTCTTTGACCCTGAAGATGGAAACTCTGGTTGACTTTCAATGGACTAAATGGTGTTATATCCCAGAAGACAGAACTCTCTAAATTTGGAAGTTTCACAAAATTTGGTTAAAATTAGAAAACAATAATGGGCACTTTACATGTGTTTCTGTGAACATACTGTATGTGAAGTGTTATTGTTTAATACAGAATAAATGTTTCAACAAAATTTGTATGGAAAAATAAAATAACTATTTAATGCTCAATAAACATCTTAAATAAGTCTTATTGTTTTTGTGAAATTAAACAAAAGAGAGTAAACAAGAGAATAGTTACATTATGCATACATTTCCAAACCTGATTTTATACATACCTGGATCTGCCACATTGAACTGATGCTGCAACATGGATATAAATCCAATTCCAGTCACCATGGCCACTCCAATGAACTGCAGTCTCAAACTCAGCCACTGACCAGCTGCCTGACTTGCATATTGACATTTCTGATTTGCTTCCACATTCTCTTCATTTTTCCTCCTGAATCTATAAAGAATCATATTAAGTGCTACAATATGCAGAATAATCAGCAAATAAACTGGCTTTGAAAAAAAAAAATAAATTAAGTACAGGTACCGATAAAACAGTTAATAAGATTACAGGACAGATCAACATGTTTACACATTGTCTGTACAGAACACATAATATGCACCAACAACTGAAGTCATATATTATCATTATTATCCTTCAACAATCCATACATACAGGTATTACAACCATTTGGATAAGGAAATTGTCAGTTTTACATCTAATTCTCGTGCATATCTTTACAGTATACACTGTACCACGCTAATATAGGGGATCTGTCCTCTGAATAATGTTATCTAAATCTAGTTACCATTAATTTCATTGTCTTTACACAAATACAACAAATTAATCAGCTATATATTACATTTACACACTTGAAAAATCAAAAGACATAAATTCATCTACAAATTAAAGGAATGTTTCAGCAAAAAAGATTTTAATTCCTTTTTAAAGGAGTTAAAATTTTCCCTTTGTTTTATTTGATCAGGGGACCTTATTATACAAACTAATTCCCATATTTATCACACTCCTCTTAAAAATAGCTGTATTACAGTGCTGCACATGAAAATTTAATTTTCTTTGTGTGTTATAATTATGAATGTCCGAATTTATTGCCATAAAAGCCTTGTATTTTTTGATAAAGCATGTCACCTTCAATATATACAGAGAAGGCAATGTTAAAACATTGTAATCTTTAAAAATCCGTCTGCATGACGTGCAACTGCCAATACCACTAATCACTCGAAGAACCTGCTTTTGCAATTTAAAAATGCTTTTGCTTTCCCCATCCCCACCCCACAATAAGATACCATTTCTCATACATGACTCAAAATTCGAAAAATAAATCATTTTTATCATATATGGACTCATTATTTCTTTTAATATTTTCACCATATAAATTACTTTGCATAGCTTTGCTTTTAGAAATTGAGCATTTTAGAGTCATTGTCATCAGTTCTGACTGATATACTATTTCTGTATTATTAAAAACTATTTGTGGTCTTAACGGATCTCTCCGCTGTTTTGAATAAAATGACATGGCAGATGTCTTTTTAGTATTTATTATAAGGTTATTTTTTTGAAACCATATTTCTAATTCTTTCATAACGTTCATTATTTTATACTGAAGGTGAAGTTCATCTTTTCCAGTAATTAACAAATTGGTATCATCCGCATATAAAACCAGCTTTGCTCCTTGAACATTTTCTGTAAGATCATTAATATATAGTAAAAATAAAAGGGGCCCCAATAGTGATCCCTGTGGTACACCATACTTCACTTTCCTACATGATGAATTATAACTGGTTTTGTTACTGCCGTCAGTGTTTTTTATTCCACATATTGGAGTGACACTGGGAGCATGTTCTGACGTATACTCAGAGTTTTATATAGTAATTACCTTCATACACTATACCTCAACGGAAAAAAGCTGATAAATGTCAAATCGCGCATATATCTCACTGAGCACAAAAGGTTTGAGGAGTCAACTGACCTGGGAGCAGCTCGGAATGATCTGATTGTAGGTAAACCCAAAAGGGTCTCATTGAAGTGACTATACACAGGGGAGAGTGTGACACTGGATAATCGTTTTAATTCCCGAGAAGTGAGCCGGTACAGATTTTGAAGCCAATGGTATACCGGAATCAGCGGAGCAAGAATAAGAACCAACCATGGTAGTCCATAAATTGTTATGATTACTGTACCTAAAAACATACAAAAAATAAATTTTATTTCTAATCAAAAGGAAACCAAGATTCAATGTTTCTAATAACCACAGCATATTCAACAAATGTACAATTACCTAACAGTCCAAAGAACTGTGCCAGTAGAATATTCATAATGAAAGGTAAAGAATCATCTATTGTATATGTGTCAGACGAAAACCTGTTGAGAATACGGCCAAGAGGTGACACATCAAAAAATGTCACAGTTGCCTGCAAACATATAAACAGACATTATAAAAACGTGACAAAATAACACATAATTTCTGGTGTTTTTATTTATTCCTGATTTACTTTATACTTTCAGTAGCTCAGGCTACACAGTGTTGAATAGCTGGATAACTAATAATGATCTACTGGAAAGGACATGGAACAAAGTGGACAATGCCCAGTTCAAGGCACCATCCTAGCATTCGTCTGCAGGGACTGAGAAAAATTCCTGGTGCATAGAAAAACACATACACCTACACAGTGTGTTTTTTCACAACTGGTCTGCCATACTCTGGGAGGTAATGCCAAGTAAATGATGTTAATATAATATTTGTTCCATTTCCAGCCATGAAGGTGTTATTGATGTGTAAGTGTATGCTGTTTAAAATAATAACAGCATTAATCAGTTGAATTTATTGATGTATTTATGACGTTTGCGACAGGCTGATCACTCGCCCAAGGAATCTTACCATCTGTGTAAGAGAGACTATGAAATGAAGAAGAGGCCAGGGCCCAACAAAAGGCTGTAAGGAAAAGTTTCAAATTTCTGGTCTTTTAGAAACACACACACACATCCAACATTACAACACCCGCAACCAAAAAGGGAACACACAACACGAGACATGATATACACTGAGAATAAGAGGAACGACTCCCATAGTGGTGGAACTATGCGCGGTGTTAGAATTGGGACAGATAAGTAATCTTAACAAAATTTTTAGTATATAAATATTTTTTAAATTTTACAATGACATGATGGCAAGCAATGAAATAGATTAACGTAAATGGAGCATCTGATGATGGCACTATAGTGGCGAAACATGTTGTGAAATAACAAGTGAAATTAAGTGCACTAAAAGACGGACACTGCAGACATATCATGGACGAAAATCAGTGCAACAGGATGCTAAAATACAACATTTTAGAAACTGTTATTTTTTAAGGAATAGGACTAATTAACTAGCCGACATGTATTTTTCAATTGCAGAATAAATCTAAGACTTTAATTCTGAGGGACTACACACTCCAAAAATTACTGAGAGCCAACAGTCATACTTATGAAGCTTATCTTTAACAATGACAAATAATTAAATATTCAGACTCTAATGTAAACTGGAAATGCATATGTGACTGATTACACTTCAGTAGTATCCAGAGTCCTCCTGGAGTAAAGGATGCCAAGAAATAAGCTTCGCATCTGTTCTTCAGCACTTTCTGATTTATTATGTTGTCAACACTTGCCTTGATATACTGGAGCCTAACATAAGTCTCAAAAAGCTCTGTCTTGAGTTTAGTCTGGTGCAGAGAATACAGAAAGTTCAGATTCACTAGCTTTCACCCAACTATGGTACTCACCTTAATTATTGTTTTTAGTAGTCGTTTATGAACTTTTGTAGCAGCATGTATCCCTCCATAAGCAAACAGGAATGCTCTGAAGAGTGTAAAAACAGAATTGAGACCAGCGAAAAGGGCATACACTGTTAAGTAATATGAAATGTCATTCCCATCACTGGAATCTGTTACTACTTCAAAAATGAAAAGTGAACTGTTGGTATTGTTGTGAGACTGTGAAGAGTCATGAGTCACCTGCAACATGAAGACCATAATACATTTGAGATGAGCATATTAAGGAGAATACTTAGATATCCAAAGAATCAAAAGGATGGAGAAAAATGATTAATTAGAAGTTTTATAATTTGTAGCCTTCAGCAGAACTTGATAAGCTGACAAAATCAGGGAGGGTGACATAAACAGGGATGTAAAATGATTGGGAGAAATGAATGTGTGATACAAGAACATTTATGTTAGGATCCTAAGAGAAAGAAGACTTTCCTACATTTGTTAATGAGACACCAACAATAGGCCAGAAGTGGCCGCAGTACAAGGGACTTAGTCCCATCCCACTAGCAATAATAATAAAAAAAATGATCACATAAAAAAACTCTGTGGCCTGTAGTCCACAAGCAAACTATACCAACAGAGTGATCGCCGCTTGTCGGTGAAGAATAAGAACTAAAAAGAAGACATGTTGTAGAGAGCTATCTTTAATTTTAAATAATATTATGAACGAATTTAATCTAGATATGTTTAAAAAGTTATGGCTTTTTAAGGGCTATAACTTATGTAATCAAAAATAATGATACCAAATTAATAAGAAATATGGTTTCTTGGAATTGGAAAGTGGACATACATGATAAAACTGAAAGAATTACACAGATGGATGCAACAATTAAAAAACATGATGGGAAAAATATTTAAGTAAGGTAAAATAATGTGCATTTTTCAATTTTTACTGTAAATTTGTGAGAAAATATTAAACATTTCTCTCGGTGTTTGTACAGACATACATACCCAATAACTGAGCCACCAGTCTGTAAGGTTCCTAGAGGACTGCATGAGAAGCATGGAAAGCAAGATAGCTCCACTCAGCAAGTATCCTATTGCTCTCAGGTACGACAAATAAACATTCAGCTGGACATTTCCTTCTTCCCGCTCCTCTTCCTCTAAAATACTGTCACCACTTACTGATTCTGTATCACAGTCACTTCTTATCAGTTTCTCATTGTCTTTGTGGCTATGACTTGAATCACCAATGTCAAATTCGGAAGGCAAGAGATATTCGTCATAATCAGACAGAACAGACATAGGTTTACCTAAACAGTAAGAGATTGAAAACAATTAAAATGAGGCATCAAATCTTGCAGTTGTCAAATAGGTCAAATAATGCATGCCTACTGTGCAAATCGAATCATGTAAGCTTTCAAATTCTTGTTGACTCAAGCAAGGGATCTACAAACTCATAATTTAAATACACACAGTCATTTTAGGAAAATAACAAATAGCATGAATGGACATGAAACTCTGGAATCTATAAGGCGTAAAATAATATTTTTGTCTTCAAATTTTAAAAATCATAGAAAATATGAAAAGTTTAACAACCTTGGTTCGTCATACGATGAATAAAAGCTGCTAAATGAGACATTACTTGCACTGTCAGAATACTTACCCTGTTGTGTTATTATTCCATTTTCCATAACTAGAATATGATCAGCAGAGAGCAGATACTGGATGTGATGTGTGCACAGAATTCTGGTCTTGCTGTGCAGAAGACCATTAATACACTTCTCAAATATGTTCCGGGCTACATTTACATCAACAGCTGACATGATGTCGTCCAAAAAGTAAATATTCTTGTCCTGGAAATTAATTTCTCTTCTGACAATTACTCATGCATTACTCTCCTTAGTAAACTGCACATTCATTAGTACAACGTTCAAGTAAAGCTACAGACTATCTAGAAGAACAGTGGAAACTCACACCAACTGCTTCACATGTGCTGCATACAAAAATGTTCATAGTATAATTTTTTCTGACCTTGAATCTTATTCATTTCATACCTGTACCAACAGCAACAGTCTGACTTACCTGATACACAGCCCGAGCTAATGACACCCTGGCTTTCTGGCCTCCACTGAGAGTGACTCCACCCTCACCTACACCAGTCATATCACCATCGGGCAGCATACCGAAGTCATCTGCCAAACAGCATGCCTCAATGACAGATCTAGACAAAAACGTAACTGTGTTTCACCATTATTAGAAACAGAAAAACTAAGACTATGAACTACTGCAACCAACACGAACCTCACAAAATATGTCTCAAGTGGCATGTGTGAATGAAAATTACAAGTCAACCAGCAGCAGAAATACTAGCAGCTAGAGATGTATTTAGGTTTTAAATCCATCAGTACTGAGCAGGTTTGTGTAGCAGTAATGCTCATGACTTCCATTCAGGAAATACACCTTGGCCAGTTTACCGACTACACTAGTTGAGTGAGACCTTGAGACACTCATGGTGGTGATATGAAGATTACTGTAATCTGGGATGACACCATGTAGTCTGACAGAAGCTTATCAGTGTTTGGGGGGAACAAGCTGCCTCCACCTATAGGGCAGAAGAGTAAACCACTGAGATGTAAACACCTAGCCGACTATACGGCATCACATCTCAGAAGGCAGAATTTAGCACTAGTGTTGTTCGTACCCAAAGATTTGAAGCTTTAATGTTGATGCTGTTTCTACAGGAAATTAAAAGTAACTAGATGGGACTGTTTCCAGTACTTACAAACACTTTCACAAAAGCTGGCAAAACAGTGCTTATAATAAGATGGTCTAGCTGAATCAGGGAAGACATGAGCTATTAGAACATCCCCAGACTGGGTCAAAAAAGAAATGCTGGCCTAAGTTACTCAATTCTGACTGTCATCGCCCTCAAAATAGTCTCCTTGGGAATGTATACAGAGATCCTATCATTTTTTCCATGTTTCAAAAGCACCGTGAAAGTCATTTTCCTTAATGCTGTCGAAAACTGCTTGCAATTCCCTTTGGATATCAGACACTGTTTCAAAATGTCACCTTCAGTTTCATTTTCAATTCAGAAAACAAAGCAAAATCACAGGGGGCTAAGTCTGGCAAGTAGGGAGGATGGGGAATGATAACCATGTTGTTGTCACAAACTGTGGTTTTCAGAAATTTGTGAACAGGAACATTATTGTGATGAAGGAGCCAGTTGTGGTTGGGCCAAAGTTCCAGTCTGTTTCATCACGCATTCTTTCTCAAGTGCCTCAAAATATCACAGTAAGAGTCAGAGTTGACTGTAGTATTCAGAGGAACAAATTCAGGTGAACAATCCCCTTCATGTTGAAAAAAAACAATTAGCATGCTCTTTATTATATTTAATCATCCTGTTGCACTCTACATTTCTATATGTATAATATAAATACCATCTTAAATGCAACACAATTTACTGTAGTTCTTTGTCTTTCTTCTTTCACACTACATGTTTCAGCCATAACTGGCCATCAACAGGTGTATTTCACTTATGTAGCTGTCACACTGCATGTAATTTAAAATTTAAAAACACCAGCTTTCTCAATTGTCATTGCTGTGCTTCAATCGGTCCTGATATACCAGAATCCCCTTCTTGATTTTGTCAGTTACGTTTAAAATCTCTGTTAATATACAGTTTAAAATTTAAATTTAAAGAGCAAACGTATTAAAGATAAACAGCAGCACGCACACAGGGATCCTGCACAGAATAATACGTGAATGGTGCTGAAAGCAAGAAGTAGCCGCTGCAGCACATGTAGACATAGAGCAGGTATCCCTGTGATTTATATAAAAANAGCGATATACGCCCGATACGCGACAATATAAAAAAAAATTTAATTTAAAATTTGTCACCCTGAACGTTCATTATCTTCAACTGACACTTGACCAGTCTCGAAAAGTGAATGCCATTCAAAAACCACTGTCTGGCTTAAAGAAGGTTCTCCAAAAGCCTCATGAAGCCTTTAAAGGGTTTTGGGAGCAGATTTACCGAGCTTCACAGAGAACTTGATGCAGACACATTTCTAGATTTTTCCATCCATCACAAACAAAACAAAATATGAAGTCAAAAGAGCACTCATGTAAAAACGATGTGTGTTCACAGCTCGGTATCATGTGGCAGACTGATGCAACAGGCTTGTAGAAGTGTGACCTTGGCCTCCCATCTCATCTTCTTTCACCGAGGCAGTTACAATAATAACAGTCCAAGAACTACAGACACACACAGCTCTCTAATGAATCCACAGAAAAAATTCTGTTCCTTGTATACTCTACGCAAAAGATAGAAATCATCATCTCAGACGTAATTCCAGAAGTCAACATATTAGTAGGTACCAGATATCCAGAGAGCAAATAAGTTAGGTGTAGATGCTAGATCAGTGTGTGATATTTTTCACTGCAGTCTGCTGAAACAGCAGCCTGTATAAACAATATGAATAAGCTCTTACTTGTATCTGTTGTGTTCGAATGATTTCCCGAACAGAATGTTTTCTCTTATTGTGCCCCTCTGAAGCCAAGGCTGCTGAGCAACAAACCCAAAACCTGTAAAATGAACAATGTGTCATAATTTCAAGAGATTCAACACCACAGCACAAATTCTGTATAGTTCACAATGGTTCATAGCTAATGGAAACCACTTTGTGTATGTACCATAAGATGTTCATCTGAGCTCTACAGTTATTCTCTTAAAATAATTTTGGTCCAAAGAGACTCTCTCAGATGAACTTGGAATGAGATAAACATTTACAGCGAATTTAATATTCATGTGACTGTATAGGGTTTTGATGATGGTTTATTAAACATCGTATTACTAGCTTTCTGGCCTTTGTCCATTATCTGATTTTCCAAAAACCCGAACACAATGTTCTGGGAAATGGATCTGCTCCCATCCATTGGTGGGGATACTAACTCAGTTGAGCCCACTAGAGAGAACTAATTGCAAATATTGGACAGCCTAATTCTTAGTGTATTGACTTCAGATGTCCAGTGACTGGGATCAATTCATCTAATAAATCCAACGGAGCTCCAGAAGCACTAAGTTCTGATTTTCAGAATATGAGACAATGAGCAAAATGTGGGATCTATGTAATATAATATTCAAAGAGAAACTAAGTAAAAATCCATCTGCACATATATACACAAATGCTGTGACCCTCAGTTTCCTTACAATTTAACTTCTTGCAGTCAAAAGTAAGGTCTGAGGTAAAGCCCCAATCAGGAACCCAGTGGGTAGCAGTGTGCTGATACATCACCTGTGGAGCAATAACTAGTATGTATTCCATCATGAATATGGAGGTGATATTTTCCTCAGAAGTACCAGCATCTCTCTGAACTGCAGTGTTACAACCTAGAAGACTCTTTAAGCATGAAGTGGATATGAGATGATGACCAACAGGGGAAATCTTTCCCATTGTAATTTTGTCCACTACAAACATAACTTGAACTGCCCTGGGATACAACTGTTACCTCCACAGTGATAAGCCAGCCTCTACCTACCTGAGATTTTATGGCCTCACTTTCCTTACAGGAGAGAAAAAAGCACAAAAGGTGAGAATATGTGGGCAGGAGCAGCAGAAAGGAAAGAAAAATGAGTAGGAAAGAAAAAAGGATATTATTCTTTTGGTGGCAAATTTTGTAATCATTCAAATTAATTTTTGTTTGAGTGGAAAATAAAACTGTCAATTCTTTCTTGCTCTTCCTCAGACAATACAGATAAATATTAAATTCCTGCAAATTAAATTGCTGAACCAACTGATAAAATAATATTTCACGAAATGTTAGCATCAAAAATAGTTCAAATATCATCATGGTTGTAACCTCCACATCAATATTATTCAGAAAACCATCACTCCATAAAGTCTTTCTCATAATGATCTACATCTGAGAAGGGTAAAGATTAACTTCTTTACTTTGAATCCAGTCAACTGAAAATCAGAAGTGAAGCCTTACCTAAAAAATGAAGTTGTAACAATGTGGTGACTGGTCAGACTAACTGCAGATAAAATGGAACACTGATTGAATAATGAGCCCCACATTGTACCTTCCCAAATGAGAAGCAAACATCAAATTTCATAAGTTATGAAACAATCTCAAAGCGCTTATAGTACTTGTAGCTTTCCCACCTTTATCGAGATCTGAGAGGGCTATGACACCAGATTCCTTGTCCAATTCTGCAAGAAGTGCAGATAACAGAGAGGACTTTCCTGTCCCAACATTGCCCATTACTCCTATGAACTGCCCCTAAAACAATCAACAAATTTAGTAAAATACAAACTGTCACAATGATTTGCACAGTATAAAATCTTAAACACAATGAGCATGAATAACAAGAGAGAAGTGACTGATCTTGTACAGGGAACATGATGGAAGAGTCAGCTTACACAAACAAGTTGAAACATGTTCCTACATGCTTTAAAATGGCCTGTCCCAGGATTTAGTTGTCAAACTTTGTATTTAGTGTAGCTGAAATGTGTCCTACTGGGCACTCCTACGGACCATCATTTACAGGTTTCATAATTTAATACCAATTTTCATGAAATCCATACTACGTTATCCATGTCACCTGTCAGTTTTGTCAGTACCACAGTTTCTTTGAAGTTTATTTAATGTTCTACCTCAATGCTTTGTCAATCTGATAGGTCAGAAGTAACAGGGCACAGCTCCAATAAGCTTCAAGGACACAATGGTACCAGCATGAATAACAAGCCACAGAGACCCTTTAGTTAAGGACAAGCTGCACTCTGTTAACTTTAACAGAGATAATGGATTCCCTCACAGTCATTAATGGCACATGGTCATGAACATAATATAACATATGAGAGAACTTAAAAACCACTAAATAGAAGGGCCAACAACTAACAACATAATTTCACATGAGCAAATGACTGTTCCCCACATGGTCTGCTCTGAGACACAACATCAATGATCACCTGACTCCACTTACTGTTCCCCATGTGACCTGGGCTAGGAAGAAGGAAGCTTTGTGTAAAAATATAGTTTGTGAACACATAGACCCCTGATGATGGAGACAGTCTCCAAAACATCAGACATCAACTCCACATTAACACAGCTAATAGCCTGAGAATACTTCACTATACACTGTCACCATGAGAGTTCATATACATTCAAATAAGCATATTACAAATTACACACATATTTTAAGTTGGTGTGGAATTATCTGCATGCAAAGTAAATGGAAAATAAAGACATATGTCTTGCCCTTATGTCCAGTAGGTCTGGTTCCAGAATGCAGGCCTTAAAGTTTCCTTTTGGTTTGGCTGTGGTACAATTGCCTTGTTAGGTACAGAAGCTTGGAAGCTGAAGGGACAAGGCTGCTGATTTGCAATGTGGAGGTACATGGCTTGATCCTGTAAGGCTCCAGCTTTTTGGTTTCATGTCAGTAAACATTTAAAAACTATCAGGAATAACATATTTAAACCACTGTATGTGTAACACATTCATACAATACAAATGACTGACAAGTCAGATATAACAGTGTATTAAATATAATTCTACACAACGGAACTTAAAGAAACTGATAGGAGCTTTCCAAATTGATGAATAAATCCTAATAATGATGGGATCAAAAACCTCATTACTTTGGAGGATATTAAGAAATCATGTCATCTTGAGTTGTTGAACAAAATGAAGCATTTATGCAACTGATATTAACATGAAAAATTTTGAGGCAGAATTTACAAGCTTGCAGAAACTGTTGAACGCTTAACATGCAAAATTCTGAAAAGGAGCAAGAATGGAACAGTACTGCAAAATGAAGTTAAACATATTAAAAAAGCATTATTTTTAAACCAAAATAATATGATAATTCCCAAATGTAATATATTAATACAATTTCATTATAACATACATATGCATAGATTTCAGAGCCCCCTTCACACTAACATCTGTGCATATGCTCTGCCATATGGTGAGAGAATTATTAACCCACCATGTTTAAAATTTTCAATGGTGTACAACTATCAGAAATATACCGAATATAGTTTCTTTTTAATTATAGCATAATGCTCTACATCACTAATTGATGATGAGCACACATGTTCAAGTATTAGACAGACCTGATGAGCCAGCAACTCGTTTGTTTTTTCACTGCCTAACAGAAGCAGCAGCAGAAACAAAAAAATAAACAATAACAACACAATAATCCTCATCCTTATCCTTTCCAGTTTGTGGTATAATTTGACCTGGTATAGATATACAACAAAGAATCTCTCCACGGTTTCTGAGTCTTCCCAAACTTCTTTTCTTGATGTGAATTCTGTTCTTGGGTTGTTGTGTCATACATTTTGGGCAACTGTGCCAACATTTCATAAGTACCTACTGTCTCCAACACATCAGCAACATTGCCTAGAGCCACACGGTACAAAAATCCAAGAATAGAATTAACATCAATAATTTCCAATGTGAAAGCCTAAAATCAGTAACTTCTTTTCCTTTTGGTTGATCTTTTAAGAACTGTGGAATCCTATCAAAGCTCAACACTACTTTCCAGTTCCTTCTGTATTGTTTACCTCACGGGAAAAAAAAAGGAAGAACTTGCAGCTAAAGGAGCATGACTTGGCTACTAAGCTTCTGGCTTCCTTTTCTAATGAAAAAGTATAAAGTGTGGTAAGTAAATAATGAAGCAAACAAGCATGCAAGTATGACAGATAAGTAAACAATAAAGTAGACAAAAAAAGACCAATGTAAATAAATGAGTAAGAAAATAGGGCAGGAAGTATATACACAAGCATGTAGTAAGATAAGTACATGAATGGGTAAATATCTACATAAATAAACAAACATACAATTCATGTTGAGAAAAGGGTAGAGTCCCTCAAGACCCAATAAGTGTAAGGCTTCTGTAACAATCTCCAACACAACTGCTTGTAATATTTCCCAAAATTCTGAGTCTGAAAAATCAGCCTGAGCCTTTCACTGTATTTGCTTCCCTGGGTCTTTATCTTTATTACATTAGCCTCATTCTTCTCATTTGGATTTGATTTCCCCTTGTTCCTTCTATCCCTCATTTATTTCCTTGTTCTCCTTTTGCCCTATCAACTTTTCCTCCCTCCTTTCTCCACATGCATGAAATGCCAGAGGACAGTCACTCTGGTTCAAGGTATCCCCAGTATCAGAGTCAGCTGATGTTATGAGAGTCCATTTCCTCTTATCTTACAAAATTCCCTTCCATTTCATTTTTAAATAACTCACTTTTGTTTACATTTCTGTTTTACATTTTTTTGAGTTAAGATTCCATACATGACAACTCGCACACTTATCTACTTCATATCATTCTGTAACTGTGTAAGTTTCAACCTACGCTGTTTTTATATTTGAGCCCAATTTTGATATTAAGTTTTTTGCTGCTGTATATGTACTACAGAAGACCCTGTGGTGTTGATTTTTATTCTAAAATGGCCAACAAGTGTATAAATAACACCTTCTGTAATGGTCCACTCCTGAAAACGTCTCAAGTACATGGTAGGCACAGTACAGAGACAAACTTCTCAACTAAGAAAATAAACCTCAAATATTCTCACCTTCTTGACTGTAATGGAAATGTTTCTAAGCATAAACTTTGTAGGAGTTTCAACATCTTGATTTTCTTCATCCTGAGCATAAGTCTCTGATGCTTGGCTTTCTTTCTCAGTGGACCCATAGCTGAAGAATCCATTTTTAACATATATGGCAAGTTCAGACTTGTCATCAGGCAGCGCAGTATAATAATCGTCAAGGTCCATATCACATAGCTAAAATAATTTCAATTAAATAATATCAGTCGGTAATATTCACTTTTGAAAAATGTAGGACTGAAAAAAAAACTGTATATATTCTCCAGTATCCAAATTATCATAATCATCAATGATACAAGTACAATCAATTGAAGTTTACCGACAGTAATAGGAAAACAAAACATTCCACTGTACAAACAGAACATGCATAATTTACCACCATCTACCAAAACTGTGATAATTATTTTTAAGCTTCAAACATACAATGCATACAGACAGTAATAATTATAAATATAATGTTTCTACATACAAATCACTCAAAAAATATCCAGAGAATTCAAATTATCAGTTAAGACATTTTGCTCAGATGAAATATGCAATATACAAGTGAAAAATAAAATTCTTACAAATTACAGTTTAACCTTTTCCATGACTCACTCTTAGGATCCACGATAAATATGTAAAATTGGAAATGCCCCATTAAAATTAAGATGCTTAGTAACAATTAGGAACCACTGATTACCTAGCAAATGATATGGGAACATCTTGTTATCAGTGACCAAAATAATGAACTTATTATGCACAGCTTTACATCATCAGGTTTCCTCTTAACCTTTTGACGTGGTCATTTAAATTCCGCGGCCGCGGCTCCTGCGGTAATATATTCAGCCGGCCATTTAAATTTTGCTCGAAAATTATTTATTCATCATTGTTCTTAAATTCTATGAGATAGGAACATGAAACTTTCACTAAAATGATCTTAAAAGGTGGTTTTATAACCTTACCTTATAATATGAACCCCCTTTATATCTTCAATGGAAGCATGTTATTTAGTATTTGAGCAGAGAATGGTACGCCTTGAAGGATGAAACTTTCACTAAAATGATCTTAAAAGTTGGTTTTATAACCTTGCCTTATAATATGAGCACCCGGTATCTCGGCTATGTAAGCAGGTGACGCCTTGAAGCATTAGTCTAAACACAGAGCTGGCTCTCGAAACGACCACCAAGGTCAGTACGATAAAATGGCGTCAACTGGAGCGATAATGAGTACTTTTCCCTCCCCCACACACATCCGTATCGTCTCAGGGGGTGACCACAGTGTTCTGCCTTAAATTGTGGCGTATTTCTAAGAAATGGGTGCTATGTACTGTGCGAAAGCAATCGATTTTACGAGAATAACATTTTGGACAACCCTCTTCTAAGAATTCCAATGGAATGTGTTTGTGTGGCCAGCTCAGGGCAATATGATATTATATACAACAGCACACATCACCTCTCTGGTGTTTATTACTTCACAAGCAAAGCAAATACGCCATTGAGTGACGAAACCGCTACAAGAAGCAACACGAATTTGCTGCAAGACAGGCATATGTAACGATGACTTATCTCAGCTAAACTCGTTGGCTTAGTATACTCTGTTCTTGTGACAACAGGCCAGCGAAAAATCCAACAATCTACAGCAAAACCATCAATTATTATAGGCGTTATAACATAGGTGTGCAGCTGGACGAAACATACACGCCGAACCCCCCCAGACGATTTAAATCCCTGACGAAACATACACGACGAACCACGGCAACGGGTTAAATTCTTCAATGCTCAATTATTTTCAAAATTAAAGTACATTTTGTATTAGTACATAAAATTCCATCATATCTACAGTTTCAATCAGAAAAAAATGTAGTGATATATGGCAGAAATACCTGTTTCATCAGCAATTATTTATAATTCACTCAAACAAGACTCTATTCATTGTTCACAATTATTCTGGAAACTGTTTTCATTTTGTTTCACTAAGAATCACCCTTAAAAAGACATTCTCAATTTTTGGTTTTTGAGTCAGTCACCATATTAGTCTTACAGACAATAATATACCATATTTACATGAATATACGCCACCCTGCTTCAAAATTTAGGCCTTTAAAATCAGGGTATACCTTACCAACAGTTCTTAATGAAAATAAGTCACAGAATTGTCTAGATCTGGTAAAGATACACAGTTCATTGTTATGACCAAGAAACGAAGCTTCAGCTTCAGTAAGTCAGTACGAACTCAACTGAAATTAATGCCATAACTTTTTTTACATCATTACAGACTGTCATCAAACTAAACAATTAAATTCAAATTTTCTTATTTCAACACCATATAATTTTGAGGTGTGATTTATATTCAAGGGCAGCTTATATTCAGGAAAATATGGTAAATGTAACATGACTGCAAAAACGTTTTATTTTCACGGTATGCGGGAAACCACGTCTGTAAGTTTTAACAGTCAAGACATAGCAGATGACATCTTTTTACTGGCAGAATCAAATTACAAAAGCATTAATGTGTTTCTAAGTGATATAATTCACTCACAGCATAGAAATGGTTAATATATGACTATAAAACTGGAGTTCATCATCATAAGAGTACTTATTTCTGCAGTGTACAGCTCAGTCTTACCTCCAACAGTCTTTGAATTCTTTTAAGAGAAACCCATGCTTCAGTAAGACCATTTAACACCCATGGGAAGGCATTCAACGGACCAATCAACATGTTCAGCAGAGCAATACTGGTAAAAACCTGAAAACATAAAAAATCTTGTCTTGGTAAGTAAAAATTCCTGTACCTGAGAATGTAATTATTGCACACAGATTACTGGGCTTTGAGGATGCAGTTCATGAATTTATCTATCTCTCCACAGTAACTTCATCACTCTTACAAAGGACTTTACAAAACCCATATTTCTTACTTCAACAGGGCATGAAACACCCATATTTTAAATTAGGAACTCTTCAAAACAACCACTGTTAGAACCTCAAATCCTACAGTTTATGCTTGAGCAGCTGTTTTCACAATTAGAAGCTTCAGGTAAAAGATAAACAAGTGGCACTTCAGTCCACTTTAAGACTTAGCAATCTTGTGGAACTATATATAACTTGAGTCTCAATACCAGACAGAGGTTAATGGTTAGCATCATGTCCTGGCAGCTTCATGAAGAGCTCCTGGTACAGGGTGGATATAAGACCAAAAGAGTTCCAGGTAGAAGGTAAAGGCATGATGCTGCACCCTATGTTCAGCCTTGGCCTTTGTGTGGGGGTAAAGCTCGTCTTCCTCAACCATTGGCACTATATGAAGGTTAGTGAACAGCATCCTGCCCTGGAAGATTCACCAGTAGAGAGTTCTCAGGACCTCTTTGGTAGGAAACCAAAGTACTTCCAGGTAAAAGATAAAGCCCTGGCACTACAGACCACTTTAACCCTTGTCTTCTTGCGGGGACTTTAATTGCTTTCAAGGTTACATGAACAGGAGAGTAACCTGAGCTACAAATTTTTAAATTTGTCTTTTAGATTAACCTACAAAGTCCCAACATACACACAAAATGACAAATGAAGTTTTTATTTAAATTAGGAAAGCCCACATGCAAATGCGCTTACCTTTGGTCACTGACTGAAAAATGATTCAGACACTGGACTATACTAATGCGCAAATGTATTACTCCTAACATCCAAAACAATGAACATTAACAACCCCATCTGTCATTGCACTCTCCATTTATAACTCGGATGCAGGGGATGCAAGTGATGTACATACCCCACAACTTTAAAGTTAATTCCCATGACACTCATTCACTCACAATTATCTCACCTTTACATTTCAATTTTACATATACAGAAGGATTTTAACTTAACTTCTTGAATGTTAATTCTTTAGAAACAGTAAAGTTCTGCTTCCCACCACTGCCAGTAATAGTGTTTCAGCACCTCTACAAGAAACTCTAATGTGTGACAACATGAAACTATATACAGGGTGTTTCACGACTTTAGGGCATAACTGCAGGAGGTGATTTCCTAGGTCTTTGTGATCAAAAAAGTTCATATAAACATGTGTCCGATTTTGGACAGTTACGGAGTTATGACCGTTTTTCCATTCTCGTACACGCCCTCGTGTGAACCGTGTCTGTCAGCTGGTGGGTCACTATTTTTAGCCAGCTACAGACAGAGCGTTCTCGTTATCTCGACGCTTGAGATGTACCTAAGGCGGGGAGGGTTGGTATGTCCGGCACGGTTCACAACCAAGTGGCAGCCTGTGCTGCAGCCGGTGGTGGCATTTTTGAAAATCAGCTTTAACCACCACTAAATTCAAATTAAAGGTAATTTCACGAAGTTAACTTTACATTCATACTTTAAATGTACCATGTATTATGCTGGTTTATTATTTTGTTCCGTTTATTGTCAGTAATCGTTACTTTCTATTCTGAGTTTAAAACGGTCATAACTCCATAACCGTCCAAAATCGGACACATGTTTATATGAACTTTTTTGATCACAAAGACCTAGGAAATCACCTCCTGCAGTTATGCTCTAAAGTCGTGAAACATCCTGTATACAGAAGACTGACCTCATCAATGCCACAAGTTCTGCATTTCTTTAACTGCTAATCTAACTTACATGTGCATTAAAACAGTTAAACAACTTACAGTTGCAGCTGTTAGTTTGTTGCCAAGAAGGACATAAGTAACAAAGGTGAAAATGGAGATGAGAACAGGAGTAGTAGCCCAAAAATATACACATAAGGCATCCAGGTACTTTCGACCACGCAAGTACTTCAGTTCCAATTCACGCAGCTCTGAAAACATAACCAAAGCAAGTGGAATCTCAGAAGCAACATTCCAGTGAAAATATAAAATGTTACTCAATGTTGGTAGTCAGAGTAACAGCCTTTGTAAATGCATCTTTCTTCATTTAACAGTCTGAAAATAGAATGACATGAAAAAGTGCCAACATTAAGGATACAGTAAGTTTAAAATAGTGTAGGATAATAGTGATCATAGACGAAAGATAAGCTCTTATGTGATGACAGAAAAGAACGGAGAAGGCTTTGTCATAACATGGCTCATCCTGGTGAGAATGTCAGCAGGTGGTGGCTGTGATGATTATAATTATCTTTCTTATATTTTCATTCATAATCTCTTTCAGTGACTAGTTACAAATACTGACTTATTTCTGTTTCCTTTCTTTTGGTCTAATTACTCAGTTCTGTACTCAATATTCTTAACTTCTAAGATAACAATTAATGTTATATCACAGTATTTAGTCACCAGGTTCTCAATTTTAATAATATTCAACAGGCATTTTAAATTTTATGGGTAATCACTTGCTAAGCCTTTTCCACACTCTCTTGTCTTTCTGTATCCACACTTCTCTCTAGTCTGTCACAGTTTTGTCACTAATCACTCAGTCATGCCACCCCTTTTCCTGGTTCTCTAATAGGTCATCTCAACTTTCTGTCAATGCCTAACCTAAATCTTCTCATTTTCCATAATTCCACTGGCATAACATGTCAAAATATTCAAACCTTGACTTCTACAGAATTTCCTTAAAAGCTGCTATTCAAAACCACTTCATCTCACTCACTTCTAATTTTGTTTCTTCTAGCTAAAATAAGCTAAAAATTAATTTAAAAGTATATTCAATTTCATTTAATTATACGAATGAAGTGTCAAATTCTAAGATGAGACAAATACACTATTTCTCTCAGAAATCTCCAACTCTGGGACTTGCAAACTAATATAAGTCATATATTAATGAAAGTGGAAAATTGTTCTTCTCACTGTGAAATGCCATTACAACAAACAATAATGGAACAACATATTTGGTTGTACAAATTACTTTTTATTCCATTATTACTTGGGTACTAAGAAATCATAATAAATGTGCAGATATCAAGTTAAAATAGTAAGAAAATCCTCTAAAAGCTATACATATTGTTTCCCTGTAACTTCTACTGGAGGCTCACCATCACTTCTGAATGTTCAAGGGAGTAACTTTGTGACTGCAGCAGGTTCTTATGTAAGTTAATGTCACAGGGAACTATACAATCCTCATCACTGGAATGCAAAGGAAAATCATAATATACCAGTAAAAATAGGTAAGAAATCCTTCTAAGCTGTGACTTTGTTCAACTATTTAGGAATGACAGTGGCAGCAAAAAACTATATATCAAGAAATTAAGAGCAGATATGATTACCAATCAGCACACAGTCTTTCATTATTCCAACTCCTATAAAAAACCTACATTAAAACATACAAAATCATAATTTTAGTATAACATTCTCCTGATTATCCATGTTAATGAAGGGCAGCAGACACATAAATAATTGAAAAACATGGATAATCCAAGTTTGGGACGCAATCAAGAGACCATGGGGGTTGTGGAATACAGATATTTGGTAATGTACACGTCAAATTTTTTCAGTTATCTTGAGAACTGTAAGGTTTAATGGACAAGTGTATTGAATATAATGTGTCTCATTTGTATCTACAACAGCTTTTGTTTGAAACACTCTTCACTCCAACAAATACTTAATGAGTTATGCTCAAAATATGGTAGAAACTTGTGTACATCTTCATGTGAACAAAATTCTCCACTACTGAAATTCATTAAAGTCTGTCAAGTTGTTCTTGAACTGTTTCATGTATACTGACAGACAAATGGACTGTGCAAACTTCATAGGCACTCCATAGGGTTGTGAATGCCCCTAAAAATGTGGACAGATAAGCTAAAAAAAAGACAAATTGTCACAAATAATCAGCAGTATAATGTAGTTTGTGAAAAAGTGTAAATGTTTCACCCTAAAGGAAGTGTGCAGATTATAAGTGTTTGAGAACAAAGTACTGAGAACATTACTTGGTTCTGAGAGAGAGAGAGAGTAACAGGAGGATGGAGAAAATTACATAGTGAGGATCTTCACAATTTGTATTACGTAAGATATACTGGTTATCAAAACAAGTGGGATAAGAATGGCAGGACATATAATACATAGAGGGAGAACAGTATGTAAAAAGTTTTGTCTAGAAACCTGGGAGAAGAGGCCACTTTGGCACAGAGGAAGGACAACATTTAAATGGAGCTTAAATAAATAGGTATGAAGGTGCAGACTACAAATGGATCAGGGTGGAGTCAAATGTACGAATCTTGCCACAATGAACTTCTGGATTACCGCCAAAAAAAAAAAATTTATTGGCCAGTTGAATGTCTTTCAGCTTCTCAAGAAGGTCTCTTCTCTATGTCATGAATGAGTATGTGGCTGAGTGTGTCAATTAGTTATCTCCAAGAAATGAAATGGTGGTTCCATGTAGAATGTAATTTTAATTCACCTTCCATATCAGTTTTGAAGATTAAAATTGAGAACAATTCCTATAAATATCAGCAAGTCATCTGTGCAAGCCACAACTGAAACACCAGTTTAGTTTATAAAAGTAACATAAAATGGCATGACCTGAGAATCTTAAAATTAGTTTATTTACAAACCAAGTTCTTTCATTCTATTCCTGATGAATACAATTAAAACAGATACCACAGTTCTACAGAATTTTCTTAAAATTATTAAACTAATGAGTAAAAGGTCATTACCAAGACACAGAAGGGTCATAAGTACATTCTGCTGTTCTTGGAGCACTGTAAAATTGGTATGCACTGTTGTAACATACTCACTTCCAATCTTTTCAACAAAGTGGTCTTCCCACACATGAAATTTGATCACACGGATCCCACGCAGAATTTCAGCCATAACTTTCACTCGTCCGTCTTTCTGTAACATCAGTTTTGTACTCAGCTCACCTGAAAATATGGCTAGTCTGTACTCTTGTATCTTAACATAACAAGTAAAAATATATATTTTATTATTTAATTCAGTGCTAAACTAAGAACAATGTAGTGATGTTTACTGAACAATCACAGTGAAATCCACATTTAACGAAACTCTGGGGATGGCTCTTCTTACAATGTACTGAGGATTTCACTAAAAGGGAGTTATGAAATACTACACCAAGAAACTGTTCATGACCTTGTAAGACTTACATAATATAATTATAATTACATAATTTCTTTATATAAGTAGTTGAAGAAAGTGCTTCTACAAAAATAAACACAATTATATAATCAACTGCATCAAACCAACATATAAAACAATGATATATTAAACAATGAAAGAAAGAAAAAACAGTTCCATCATGAATAAACGTACAATTACATAATGATACATACCACATTGATTTCTGAAATAATTAATGATATAGAGAACAAGCATAGTGGTTGTGTGCGAACAATTTTCAGCAGATAGAAAATGTGAATATCAATTGTTCTCTTAAACATGACCACACTAACTTGAAGAAAGGTGAAAAATCTCTTACAGTAAACTCTGGTTACCTACTAAATCAAGATTCACTAAATACTGAGGAAAGTATATTCATTGTTTATATTAAACTTTGGTTGGGGCTAAAAAAGAAAAAATTCACTAAATGCATGAACATTAAATCAGGATTTCATGTCGTACAATGTGTTCCAGATACTGTTTAAGCCTATGTAACCCACACTGCACATATTCTTTGTCTTTTAGAAATCTACATTAGAAACTAACTACTGTAAATGGGAGTTTGCTAGATAAAATCAAAACAGTAAAATTACCATAAATTATACGGCTTCTTGGTACTGCATCAAAATTTATGTGAGACTATGGATAAGTAGATGAGCTAACACAATAAAACAGCAAAGAAAAAAGCTCCATGATGTTGCGCAAACATTTACACAGTCCCTTCCTTTCAGATATTTGAAAAACCGCTTGAAATTTCCAGACACTGTGGGGTGTTTGAAAGTACAGAATTTATGAACATACAGTATCAATTAAAATATTCCAGCTAAAGTAGAAAAGATCTTACCTATTTTTGAAGCTATGCATTTATTAATAGGAATTAAAATAATAGTGAAAATAGCACCAGCCAAAAATGCAAGGCCAACTTGTGTATGTAATAGGTAAAATGACACACCAATCTGAAACATACAGTGGAAATGGCATATATTTGTACAACTCCAAATAAATACAGAAACATGTATTGTATTCGTGTTACTTAATTTCCACCTTCCTATACATTACACTGCATTTTGTAACATGACTACATGGAGTTCTATCCTTCCACATACAATTTCACTGCTCACTTCTAACTGGTCTCATTTTGTTTCTTCTAAATTAATAATAAATCTTGCATTTCAGCATCCTGTTGCACTGCATTCTTTCCAGTAATCATTTCTGTCTTTCGTGCAACTTACACTAGAAGTTTTAATTCAAAATATAATTTTTAATTAAAACTCTCATTCTTTCATTTTGTTTATTCTATTTATACATGTTTTGGACTATACTGCCATCAAGTGTGCTAGAATTGCTTTGGTGAAACTGCTGCACCTTGTGCACTGTTGTTAACACTTTTTATGATCCAGTTCTGAATTCTGGGGTATAATATTCCTTTTGTGCACAATGTACGAGTATGCTGGTGACTGGTATATCTATAACATGCAATAATGACTGGTGTTTACATTTATGTATGGAACACGCTGACACTACTTTCAATGCAGTTGAATGTGTACTCTTTTTTTACTGTGTCTATTTCATTCTGTTGTGTCTTGTGTAGTTATGAACGATCTATAGTGTTGGTTCTGCTTTGTGTATGTTGGATGTGATCTGTGTGCTGCTACCTAGTGTTTAATTCATGTAATGTTTCAAATATTACAGTTTTATATGTATATCAATGTATGTGTCATTCATGTGTAGCTTACTTTTACTGATTTTGTATATGTGACACTTTTCTAATATGTTTAAATGCCTTCCTTTTCCTTCTGTTTCTATGATGTCCACTGTGTCAGTTACTGTCCCATATGTGTGTCTCATGTTCAATATATGGTTTGAGTATCCTGAATTGCTGTTATTGCTCCCAACTGCTTGTACAAGCTCTTTATATATGTGGAATGTTTGTCCTGTTTTCCCTATGTATTTCAGTGGACAGTCTAAGCATTTCATTTGGTAAATGCCACTTTTGCCATATTTATCTGTTTGGAACTAGTGTTTTGCTATGTTTTGTATCGTGTTTTGTGTTTGACAATACATTTTTATTTGTTTCTTTAAAGAGTTTTGTAATTTTCCTTGTTTCTTTACTGTTACATGAGAAAGTAGCCTGACAACCCAAACTGCAAACAAAAAATTGGGAAAATTTGATTTCTTTAATTTAATGACACAGTCTAGAACTAAATACAAGTCAATCAAGCAGAGATCGAGATTCTTATGGGAGGTCATGTTCATGCAGAGGGTAGAAGCCAACAGGGCAGTAAATAATCCTATAATAAAGGATTCTGGATTCACAGCATACAACCCATGGTACACCATAATAAAAAAAGGGGTCATCAAAGATGTGCCAGAGGAAACAGACTTAAATACAAGGATTGGAGCTTTAATAGTGGCAACACTACTGTAGAGACACCACACAATAGAATCAAATAATGTCACTTATACCACACATTAGTTACATACCTACCTTACCTCAGAGCAAACGGACTCTCCCTTCCCACATCACGCGCATGTGCAGTGATGGAGGAGAATAGAGCCTCATGTTAGCTGGAGGTCTAATGTGGTGTTGTCACGATGTTTTCAAAACAGGAACAACAGAGTTGGATAAAGATTGAATGTGCCAGAGGCCACACAGCACGACAATGTCATCAAAGTCTTCAAGAGGCTTGCGGGGAATCTGCATTGCCCTACAGAACAGTGACAAGGTGGGTAAAAACCTTCAATGAGGGATGCCAAAATCTGGCAGACATGTGTCAGCCAGGTCGTCCTAGTGTCAGTGAAGAAGAAATGTGTGCTCTTTCCATGTTACTTGAGAGTGATTGGTGCCATACGATTCATGAGCTGGCCCGAGAGACAGGATTAGCGCATACGACTGTCCTTCACATTCTGAAGGAATGCCTGGGCATGAGAAAAATTGCATCACGATGGGTTCGCATGATTTGACGGAAATGCAGAAATGGCTCCGATTAGATGCTACTCGTAACCACTTCAAGCACTATGAGCACAAAGGAGAGGCTTTCTTATGCTGTATCATTATGCTGGATGAGACATGGGCCAAATGGTGATTCTCACGTACGACTGTGATGGTGTTATCCTAACACATACCATTCCCTGACAGCAGACTGTCAATGCACAGTATTACTGTTCATTTTTGGAACACAACCTGTGACCAGCTTTGAGAAAGAAGCGGCGACACTTTCTGCAGAACCCACCCATCATTTTGCAGGACAATGTTCAGCCGCAGGCAGCGCAAGCTGTGGCTGATTTGTTCGATCGATGGGGCTGGGAAGTGCTGTACCATCCACCATACTCCCTGGACTTAAGCCCTTGTGACTTTGACTTGATTCCTAAGATGAAGGAACCACTTTGTAGCATACGCTTCAGAACTGTTCCAGAGATTCTTCAGGCAGTACATCACTCCATTCGAACTATCAACACAACAGGCGCTGCTAAAGGTATCCTACGACTTCCACATCGCTGGCAATGGATTGTACACAATGCTGGTGACTACACTGAAGAACAGTAAAACTTTGAAACATGCATCTATTTTGTATCAGTTGTAAATAAGTAGTTGCCATTATTAAAGTTCCAACCTTTGTATTTTGTTAACACAGTTAAATAACGATAACAAAAAGCACTGTACCAGATACAAATTGTGGATGCACACAGAATAAGAATGAAAATAATGGAGAAAGAAGAGAGATCAGAAGGAAGGGAAACAAGTTGGGAAGACTCAAGGGCTGGGTGCCTAATGGTGAAAACAGAGGATTTAATATATATAATATAATATTAAAACTGATGTGAAACAAACAGGATGTGAAGGGATGGACTTGACTGGCACAGAATAGGGCCCAACAAGGGACCGTGTGATTATGATAATACACCTAGGAGGTCCAACAAAGCAGGAAATTTCTTGTCCAGCTGAATAACTAACCAGACCCTGTATAATGGTACTGTATCATACATATATTCAAGGTACCAAAATAATCCGAATGCTGCTAGTGCTGCTATCAGTTCGGCAGCTCTCAAACCACCACACTGGAATGAAGGAAGGCAAGAATTTAAGGAAAAAGTATGATGTCAGGATAACCTCCAATAGGAAAGCCTTCCTATGGAGTTTCATGAACTGACAAGGGAATGGTCTGGTCCGACATGTCGAAACCTGTCCTGATTTCTATTTCACTGCAAGAGTACACACAACAAAATCCACTGTCAAAATTTTAGCTGCTAATACGCACGGCAAGTATTTTTTAAAAACTCCCGAATTACTCATTTTTTCTGTGTACGGAATCGCTTGTACCAGAGGTTTGTACAACCCCAGCCTAGGCTGTGAGTCAGCTGTGTTGCGTGTTGCGTACTGCTCTGTTCTGCTCCAGCTCTGTTAGGGGTGAACATTTCTCCAAGGGTCTGGCAGGCTACAATATTGGCCATGTTCAGCAATTTTTAAAAAATACTTGCAGTGCATATTAGCAGCTAAAATGTTGACAGTGTATTTTGTTGTGTGTACTCTTGCAGTGAAAAAGAAAATCAGGGCAGGTTTCGACATGTCGGATCAGACCATTCCTTTTGAGCTGCACATACATACAACATGCAATGATTCACAAACCTATTTTCTCCTTTCAAAAATTAGCTACTACAAAGATGGCAGTTATTACTGTTAGAGGGAGAACAATGAAAGAAACCATTCAATGATTCGGTATCAACTTCTGATTTAGGAAGTACTGTTAACAGTGGCTCTTAATAACAAGTCAAGAGGAGCAATTGAGGAAACAGTACTGGTACACTTCACAACATTAACTTGCATTTTATAAAAAGCATCTCAGCAAACTAACAAAACAGCTGGGTAAAAATGGTTATCCTCTGGATCTCATTCAAGGTATGCCTTAATATGTTCTCAAGCAATGTAAATATCACGATTGTGAAAAACTAATCAGGTGGAATGAAAGACAAATGGTACTGGTATATTGTGAGGTCCTAAACATGTTTCAGAAAAGCAGAGAACATCTACATCTGAGTGCCTTGAGTCAGGAATCAATCCACAAACACCTCAATATAAATCTAGCAGTGTTCTGTGCAGCCATCCTAGTGGCACAAGAAGCAGTTTGTCAGTATTTATACATTCCATTACTTAGGATATGTGCTTTATCACTTTACATGCCACTTGCACAGTTTCTAAAGTAACATACCTGAAATGGAATACTCCAGAAGGAATGGAAACTGGGACATGAGTTCACAATGCGATCAGTATCCGTGCTCATGAAGTTCACGATTTCTCCAAGACTGCACACAATGAAATATCACATTAATATATTTCTAAGTTGTGATGTGTTGGGTTATGACACTGCAGTTTCACAGAGGTTTACCAAGTCTCCTGCCTCCCTCTTCAGAGTATAAGCTTCTTCTACCCTACAGATGGAAGTAACAGGTTCCTCTGAAAAGTTGTAACACTGTAAGAGTACCCAGTGCCATATTCAAGAAGACCACAATCCATACTTTCATTGCTGTGAAATTCTCAAACCTCAATTAAAGGAAACACAAAAGTATTCATAAACTCTTTTTAAATTCAATTATTTGACTGATTAAATAAAAGTTAGACAATTAGAAAAACACCTTGTTCTACATAAAATTCACTCACTCACTCACTCACTCATGGAGCTGAGCCCTTCTTGAGAAGCCGCCAATTATGCAGTTACTCAAGAATTTCCCAGCATTTTATGGAACCCGAAGGTTCATTACCGTGTTCACAAGAGCCCTCCACTGGTCCCTATCCTGAGCCAGATAATGGCAATCCATACCACACCTTCCCATTCATTCTCTCTAAGATCCATTTTAATATTGTCCACCCACTTACACCTTGGTCGGCTGTGCTATAGCTTAAGCGGTTAGTTGCTGGCTACCCACCGAGGCGGCCCGGGTTCGATCCTTGGTCTGGTCAAGTGGGATTTGTGGTGAACAAAGTGGCGCTGGGGCGGGTTTTCTCCGAGTACTTCGGTTTCCCCTACCAATCTTCATTCCACCAAATTCTCCATCATTATAATCACCTGGGCCAATCAGTGGCCACCGTGCTGAGTGGACCCAGTTGGACTCCACCCCCCATTAAGTGAATTTAAAAAAATTTAAATATTACACCTTTGTCTTCCCACTGGTCTCCTTCCATCTGGCTTTCCCACCAATATCCTATAAGCATTCCTCTTCTCACCCATTCGTGCTACATGTCCTGCCCACCCCATCCTCCTTGACTTGATCATTCTAATTATACTTAGAAGAGTACAAGTTATGAAGCTACTCAATATGCAGTTTCTCCAACCTCCTGTCACTATATTTGTCTTCAGTTCAAATATTCTCAACACCCCGTTCCCAAACACCCTCAGGTTCCACATAAAATTATAAGGGCAAATCAGTAGGTATCTTTATGTCAATCTCAGAAAGCAATGATTTGCATGAGAGACCTCACCTTAGACGTGATGGTAGTATAAACTCTACATACAGTAGTTAGTAGACAGCATGATGATCACACGTATTCACATGGTGATCAGAACAGACTGAGAATGCGTGTCAGTGAAATTTACATTAAAATACAGATTGCCTACATCTCTTCAAGTGGAGAATCGATATCTTCTTCTTAATGCTTTTCATGATTGTACAAATCATTGTCACTATCACTAATGTATAGGGCTGGGGAGAACCAACCATATGCCCACTTCGGTACTTTCAGAACAGCTTACAGGTACCCCAGAAAATTTTTAAATATGATATTTGCTAACTGTTTGTTGATTATTGCAAAATATGTGATGATTTCTGCTTTATGAACCAACCCTCTATTTGAGAAGTTTTAAATATTTAGATTGTGAGCAGTTATTTTGTTGCAGATGTGTTTATTAGAAAGTAAGAGAATCGTGCCACAAATATCATACCCAGTTGAAGGAAGGCTTAGGGACCCACATCCTGCCACATGAATCAATCTGGCACTTCCCACTGGAAAGCCTCCTGCAATACATAATTACATTCTGCCTGCCATCTTAATGTTAGAAAATGATGAGAAGCAAGTTCCTTAATCATATTTTTGTGATGGATGATTCATGATTCCATTCATCTGAACTGGAACTGAAGTGGTGAGTAAGTCACGTTTCTCAATGACAATGCAGTACTTGATCACCAGTTTGAAGTGCAAAACTTGTTGCAGACCTGGGGCTGCAATTTGCTGCAGCATACTCTTCTTATTCCCAGAAACTACCCTCATGTGCAAGTAATTATATTTTATTTTCTTGTGTAAAGGAGACACTTCATGGATAATAGTCCAAATCTGCAGACACCATCAGTAAGACTAAGAATCATTAAGATATATGGGTACAAGCAATTAAGAGTGCTACAATTGACTGCCTTCCTCAACCACTAGGGAATTTTTTCATGGTGTTGATATTGTTAAATAGGAAAAGACGTAAGTATGTAGTGACATCCTGTTTCTGTCAAGTTATGTGTATGTAGTGCCAGCTTTAGCAGACAGATGGTGTTGCGTGGTTGGTGCAACGAATCCCCACGCCGCTATTTCCTTGAAATAGCTCGTCAATTATCCTCACGAGGCTGAGTGGACCCCATTCCAAACCCACTACTTCTCATAAAATTTTGCTAGTGCCAGGAATCGAACCCAAACCTCTGAACCTGTAGCCAGGAACTCTGACCACTAGACCACAGAGGCTAACTTCAACAAGCAGCAGTTGCTCCGTCAGTATAATTCGCTTGCGGACTGAAACCAGAGAGTTTGTTTTGTTTGCTTTTATGTGTGTGTAGTGACTGCACCCATGAAAATTCTCATGGGCCTCTTACAGGTGACAAATGTAATGCTCAAAATGTGGTCGCACTAGGAAACAGGCAAAGGAACACACTGAAAGTAATTATTTACAACTTACCTGAATTTGGAGAGTTCAATACTGCTGACAGTGAGAGTCTTCCTGTATACAGTTGTCACCAATGCTCCTCGTATCTTGAGGCCCACTTCTTGCATAAGGAAGTTGAAATGAGCATTACACAATGCTGCTGTAGGAAGTAAAAACCACTAAACATTATTAAAGCATACAACTGAGTAATTAGTAACATCTACACTGATTCAATGATTTTTCATACACACACCAACACAATACAGACCCATATACCATAGTAAACGTGTCCTAGGTTATGGTGTTATTTCCAGTTGTTACTATTTTGTAAGAATTAGGACCAAAAACATGAATGAAACGTGACGTAAATAATAAACTGAAATTTTAATTGTACTGATAGTGAAGGCATATTCATTGCCCTGCAGAGATATCAACAATATCTCTGATTTATTTTAAATAGCATGTTGTCATTTATTTTAAAACTTGTTACCACTTGGCTGATCCAGGCCCACAGATTTTTGCATACCAAGTCAAGCTTCAGAACCTTCTCTTCGAAACCAGTCCCATGGGAAATACTCATTTAGACCTTCACAGATAGTCTCTGCACAGGGAAATTGTGCTACATTTAGTTCAGAGATTACTCTGCAGACCTCAATTTCCAGTAACATGCAAAATTCCAATAAGTCCAGGGACTGTTCATGAGATTCCAAATGAACATTTTTCAGGAGTGTGTACTGGAAGAAGAGGTTATAAATCTTGACCATCTCAATATCCAGACCTAACTCCACTTCTTCAATCTATGGCACTGCATTAAACAATTGAGGCTAAGAGTGAAAATCAATGACAATTTGAAGTCAACAAGTTCTCAGATGAGTACAGCAAGAATTAAAATGAATGTGTGCACAGTACAAACTTCTCTTTCATGTCACCTTTCATCCATGTTCCTAGCACCAGCTGTTAGATAACAGTAAAGCATGTTGTACACCACACCATTTCTTTATGGAAGCGCAACATACAGAACATCCCATAAGTCTAGGGCCACAGGGGGCTTCAGTTAGTTGACAAAATAAACAGAAATGCAATGAGGGAAGAGTTATTGCAGACTGTGTGTTTCCAGTCCCACATGTTGGATTGTTTTACCCAGGATGAGCTGTTATGGTGCTACACTCTTTACACTTGAACAGTAAAAATTTATAGAATGTTGCAAGGTGATATGACAGTGAATGTGGAATGGTTACCAGGACAGATGATAAAAGTAGTGAAGGAGAGACAGGTACATGAAACAGAAATAGTGACATAAACCGTTTTGTTTCAATGTACTCATACAGAAAATACGCTGACACTCTGTCGCATACAAGAGGAATATTTACGCTGCATGCATAGTCATTACCCCAGCAACACTGAAACATATTCTCTAGCTTATGGCACTGTATCCACTTGTGTCAGCAACAATAGGGACACCAGTATGAACAACATTTTGCCACAACTGGCCACACTGTAATATTGTTTCTGTATGAATACATTAAAACACAATGGTTTGTTCACTATTCCTATTTCATGACATACCTGTGTCTCATTCACTAACACTTCCTTCTGCCCTTGAAACATACCCTCTTTTGCCATCATGTCATCTTGATATCACCATAACTTTTTACTACTAATGTGTGAAAAAGTGCAGTGATACAACAGCTCATCCTATGTAAAAAAAAAAACTCGACATTTGAGAATGAAAACATACAACTTTCAACAACTTTTCCCTCATTACTTTTTCCATATTCTGCAAATTGCCAAGGACTCCTAAGGCCTTGAACTTATGGGGGACACACATACATGCACAAACAAATTACATTCACGTAATTTGTAATCTCTGTTAACCAAAAATATCCCTACGTCTGTCCAAATATGAGTACTAGGAAGCCATATGATGAATGAAACATATTGCAGAATAGATATGGTATAATTATGAGTAACATTACAATTAAAACTTTGCTTTCCTAAAAGCTTATACTAAGCTGCAACCAATATTTATCACAATTTTGCACATTCATCACATAATACATGTAATGAAATTCAGATGTTCATAAGATATGATAACTCAAAAACTGATGATGAACACAGAGCATCTACAGGAGACTCTGATGCCTTTCTTCAACAATTCTCTTTTTCAATACTAAAGGATTTCACACAGGAAACAAAAACTGCAAATATCAGTAATTTCCATTCTAGCCATGGAAATGCTTCTGTTATATCTCAAGTAGGAGACCTTTTCATTAAATGGATTTCAGTCATTTCAACTAAAATCTATATTTTCCTTTGCACTTTTAGTTAATGACCTCCATACTCATTCTTTCAGTCACAAGTTAGCTCAAATGGATTACATTCTAAGAGTCATGATTTTACTGCTTCAGTGGTGTCTGAGATTAAAAATCCAATAAACGAGTTAATTACAAATTATAGCATTCAAGTCAGAAGGGAATAACAAATAAGCATAGATTAATACATATAAATATTTTAAATAAACAAGTTTAGTTCTACTAGTATCAATTACATTTACAGACTATAATTTGTGCTATACAGTGTGGTCCAGGCCCTTGGAAAACCCACTGCATGTTTTTCTCAGTCTGTGAATCACAGAGACTGGGAACCAGTGCCTTTGTTAATGCCTTGAGAAGATTACAGAATACTATAAAGTAAAGACCCTAAATTTAAAACACAGTAACAATTTGCTGCAACTGAGAAATGCACTGTGAGAATTACTACAATTTTTATATGAGATTTTGGTCTGGACTACTAAAAATAAACATAATGAGCATAATAGAAATATTTGCAACAACACAATAATAAGATATCACTGCACATACACTACTGTAAGTTAAATTTTACATTCGTATATGATGGGCATATTTTTACACTACAGGACAATCTCCTGTTTCAGCAAAATCTGCTAGTTTTACAGCCATGAAAAATCAACTGATGATAGTCAGCATAGTTCCTTTACTGAATGACAGATGTGTTATTCCTATACAAAACTTCTGTGATAATTCTGAGGCATTCATTCCAAAAAACTTTAATTTTATGCACGTTACCTAAATAGACAAAATAAAATGACATGCTGGTGGGTTAATACTGAGTCACAGTTCATGTACTATTTACTTAGGATCCCAGGGACCTTATATATACAAAATTACTGGGGCAGGTTTTCTCCAAGTACATCACTTTCCCCTGCCAATTCTCATTCCACAGACAGCTGCCCATGCATTACCATCTATCATCTGGGGCTGACACAATATGCCAAATAGTGACCAACATACCAAGTGGACTCAGTCTCACCACACACAAAGAATTAAAAATTATACAAAATTATTCCTAATTTCCGACGTCTTTGCCCACTGGTCTGGTACAGTCTGTCTGACATATACTTGTCTTGCACTTAAGGTACCCTATCACATTAAAAATCACCCTTGCTGAAGATATTTCTTTTGGTTTATTTGGATGTTAGGGGGGGGGGGGAACCTGCATACATTTCGGTGAGAAAACTTCTTGAAAGCAGCCACTTGGAAGATACAGGAGATGAAATGATAAGGAAACAGGGTGTAATGGTTGGAAGATTTATGTGGCTCAAAAGTATGTCCAATGTTGGGTTTTGGTGTCTGCAGTACTAAACCTTTGGACTTCATTACCAGAGAATTAGTTCTCAAAGAAGAGATTGTGCATCCACATTTTGAAATCAACAATCTAACAATCTTGCATCTAACAACAACGTTAACTTAAGGACATACCTATTAAAGTCACAGCAAAGAGACCAGCAGCATACAAATAGCCTTCATGCAATGACTCTGACTTTGTCTCTATGAATGTCACTAACTTATTAAGAAGCAAGGGCCCCATGAAGCCTGCAATGTCTGATAAAAGCTTTAGGACACCGATGCTGTAGAACTGAATCCCAAAGCAAGTGTGCAGAGCTCGAAGAAGTGAAGCTGGTTTCCGTGATTTCACTCCCCTCCATGTTACATCTGGTATCTCCACCTCTCTGTGGGGTGCCCCATTAACATCTACAGCAGCATCTGTAGCAACTAGAAAAAAGAATGTAAACCCTTATGATGGAAAACTATGCAAATGAAATAACTTACCAAACTAAATCTTCAACAGGAAATTCCACCACAGTAGTGATCCTGAGCTAATTGAATCCACATTGTCACAACCCATTTCCTGACTATCAATTTTAAGGGTTTCATACCAAAATTCTGAGCACATTTCCTATTTCTCTCACCTAAACTATTAAGTCCAGTCCGTCACTCAAGCCATGGAGTTTGTTTTGTTTGTATATTTTCTTGCTTGATTCATATGGATGAAGATCAGTATACTGGAAGAAATCTATAAGGTAAATGCACTGACCTGAATGTGGGCTATGCTTCGTAGATACTGAAGACAGAACCAGCGCCATCTCCAACTGAGAACACAAATATGCAGGAGTCAAGTTGAGTGGAAGATCATACAAATCATCAGAATTTCCCAGCTTCTTCTTAGCACCCTTCTCCATGAGAGGTGTGACCCAGTGAAACAGGAGTTTGGAACAAAACGGAGCATCTTCCATTGCAGTACCAAGATACAAAGGATCTCTTTCCTCTCTGAACCGGCTGTATGTACCCAGTCTAGGGGATCCTAGAATAGAATTACTATTAGATAAATCATATTTCATACTGCATTATTGTTTTAAAATATGAATTTCTGTCTTGTCCTTGATCGTGAGCTTTCAAAGAGAACGCCGTGGTCAAATGGTTAGAGGCACCATTTCACATCTGGGAGATATTAAAATCTTGGGCAGGGGGCTAGGGATCCTGACAGGGTTTTCATGGCTCTCTTCTGTCCCTCCATGCAAATGCCAAGATAGTATCTACAATTACACCATGGCCACTTCCTTCCACCCCTTTCTAGTTCATCATTCACTAATTACCCCATTGCATTTGATGGCATATAATCTGAACTACTGACAGTGTTGTCGAATAAGTCATACATACAAGTAAAATAAAAGAGGATCCCATGTTTATTTTAATATATGTATGGTGGAAATACAAATTCCTTATAACAATTTAGTTTCATAATTTTCTAACCACTTCACCAATATAAATAAGACACAAATCAATATTTCCCTAAGAACAATCTCTCAGTTTAAACACAATCTAAACAAAATTGACAAGCTGCAATAATTATATGAACTTGTAGCAATTAAACCTACAAAACACCAACAATGAAGGGAGGAGGAGGAGGAGACATACAGATACGCTTGGGCATTGCCTACTGATTTTGAATTGAATTGAATTTATTTACATTCTATAAATCCTAAGCAGGTTAGTACCTTTGGATACAGAACAAGTCAAAATGTTACATACATAAGTACAGGCAATTTTAGCTTAAAAATTATTATAACTTAATTTTACATCATTCTCTATTTACATTGAAGTATTCATCTAAAGAGTAGAAGGAATGAGCATGTAGATAATTCTTTAACTCTGATTTAAACTTTTTAGTATCATTGCCCAAGTTTTTAATACTTTGTGGCAGATTGTTGAACACTTTTATGCCAGTAAA